TGGCTTGTCTTTGAGCGAAAAATCTTTCGAATGGAATTTGAAAAACCAACTTCGATACTGTGACTCATTTAAGGCTTTATCAACATACAAATTTTGCAACTTTTTAGCGAACTGCACTGCATTTTTTTCTTTAAGGAAATCATAAAGTCAAATACGTTCTTTTGTTCTTTTGTGGGCTCCATATCCAAACGACGTCAAACAAACAAAATTACGCGTACTTTTTTTGAAAGCAAGCTCATAATTACAGTTAATCATGCACATTTTCATTCCGGTAATTTTGATGTAAAAGATGCTGCACGGAGTCAAAAATGTCATTAAAATCATGGACATTGCCGAGGCCAACCGCCGCTGTAAACACTGTTTCGATTGCCCAAAAGCTAAAGATCACACAAAAACTAGTTTGGAACCCTTTGAATAAGGCTGGGTACGAAAAGTAATAATTAAAGCTTTGAATTGCATGCAAAAATAATGGATTGCTTTTTACTACACCTAATATTTGCTTGGGGGTTTTCAAGAGGTGCACATTTTTCTTTCCAGAAAGCGAATTAAAAGAGGAAAAATTATGGAATCTATACTTCCTCGATGTGTTTGTTCAAAAAATCTAAGATACGGGTGCTCGTGCTTAGACGATTCCATGATAAAAAAAATTCTATAAGGTAGTTTCACTTCGACACTAAACGATGAATTGGGTAAGAAATGTTTGATCTTACCACTTACGGCCGCATTAGCCTTAGCATTGCGTACTGACATTCGGAAGACTTGGGTTCATATCCCGGTGCCCCCAACATCCAAGAGTTATAGAAACTTAAATTGAATAAAAATTTAAGTTAAATTTTCTAATTGCGGTCGCCCCTCGGTAGGGAGTGTCCACCCCATGAAGTAAGAGCTCCTCATAAAAAACCATCAACCGCTCGGAGGTGGCTTAGTATAAACTGTAGGTCCCTCTATTTGTTGGAAAAGCATAAAGGCAAAAAACCACAAATCTGGAGGAGAAGCTAGGCCGAAAAGTTATATTTGTATATATTTACATATATTTATCATCGAAGCAGATGCTATAATATTGACGGATGGATCTATTAAAATATTTGTTTCAAACCGTTTTTTAGGGTTATAATTAAAATTGAAGGAGTAGATATTTTTTACTTTTTTTTCTAAATCAGGCTTACAAGGTTTTTGACTATGTGCGAAATATCCGTGGAAACTCCTAGGCCAAAGATCTGACCGGATATTGAACAGTCATGACTCCAGTAAACTCTGCACATGAGGTAGGATACCACCTTCCTCGGCTAAAAATTTGTTAAGACTAACCCTCACCAGAAAGGCCAACAGCAGATGACAGAGTGAAATCACGTGCAATTGATCGAAGTGAACAGAACTAAGTATTTACTCCTTCTAGACCTTCTTAACCGGACTTTGTGCTGTGGGGACTCATGGTAGAAGAACGGGGTGTTTCCCAAATAACTTTTCTGCCACTGCCCAACTCTGAGAGCTTACCGTTATCGATTTCTAGGAATCATTAATCTCCTCAACTTCTTCACAGGACCAGCATATGTAGGTATCAGCACGTGATCATAGTTCCGTGATCGAAAACTTGCATTTAAATATATTAAAATTCTCCACATATTTTTTATTAAAAAATGGTCGATTTTTTTAAGAGAAAAAGACGAAATATGTTTAATGTCAAATAGTTATGGAGTCGACTTCAGAGAGAGAATGAAACTACCTTTAAATTATTGTATCATGGACAATTCAATACTAAGAGCTGTGATATCGGCAACGAATTTGAAGTTTATTTTTCAACTTTTAAAAAAAAATAAATAAGTCACTGCTAAAGTGAAAATTCGTAAAGGAGGTAGTTCGCTTCGCTATTTCGTTTTTTGCTCCTTCATATGAATTGGCTAGTGTTGTTTCGTTGGTCGAAAAAATCGCCCAACAAATTCCAATGTAAGCAAGTATTTTTTATGAGCTAAAACTCTTCCCTCGACGCCATTAGCCAGCAGGATTAAAATAGTGCTTTTATTTTTATATTAATAACGGTATTTATATCAAAAAAATCCAGACTCTCTTGAATGCATCTGCAACGAATTGCAGAAAGCAAACTGCATACGATTCTGTCCATCTGTGCTTCCGGTATCTAATTTGCTTCAAACCCGCGTCAATGTCGCAAGATCAGATTTAGTTTTGATTATAGACATTTAAAGAGGTCAACTGTCGATTGGGTAAAGCATAAATACATATATCACATACCATCAGCCATTTGGAGGCGTCTTAGTATAAACTGTAGATCCCTCCATTTGTTAGAACAACATCAAGACGCAAAACCACAAATTGGAGGGGGAGCTCGGCCGAAAATCGCCTGGATACTCTTCTTACATGCATATTTGCAATGACCAGATGGAATCGCTTCTCAAGTTCATTGTTAAAAGTAACACAATTATCCAAAAAGAGGTCCAAATGTATCATAGGTGTAAAAAATAGATTTTCAAGGACATATTGCAGCCCAGTCTTCGTAGTGATGATAACATATTTACGATAAGTTCAGCGTAGTTGTCATTCCTCTTTTTGCAATGCCTAAATCGCCCCAAGCTTTTTTCTTTACCTTCTAGAACTGAGTGAACGTTGTTTTCTTCAAATCAATATCTAATTTGATTTGATGACTGACTAATAAATATATTTTCTTTGACCTTAGTTTCACTTAATCTTGGTAGTTTCCGGCCAGGGTATTGAGAAGCAGCTCCATTTCCGTTCATTGTTTTTTCGAAATTTTCCATTAGACCTACTCTTAGGCGCAAGCGTGGAAGACTTTTTTATTCTTTTCTTTCTGTGGATTAACTAAGGTATTGTTTTTGGCATTTTCTTACCAAGATTGAATTGTCTAACTCAGAAGGCTCGCATCAAACCATTAACATCTTTACAAAAAACTAAATTCACAGCATTTAAAGGCTGAACTTTTTTTTTATCTAGCATAGAAAGATGTAATAGTCACATCGCTCCCTAAAGGATTCAATTATGGCTATCTCGAACCTATGTTCTTGGGTAGCTCTGAATCCCTTAAGATACTTAAATTCAGCTTGTGTTATCCTGTGGCTTTTCATGCAAATTGACATTATTTATATGTGAAATAAAACACATTTTTGCAAACTTCTATCCGTTTGTGGTAACTTTCGACCTCTTATACGGCACATATAGTGTGATATCTCTGCCATGATTTAACGAATGCAGGGTTTCTTAGTGCACAAGATTTAAAGTTTAATCCCCCCCCCCACGAAAAAAGTCCAACGGCGTCAAATCGGGCTATCTCTGTATCCTATTCGTCAAGACGAGAGAATATGCAGCGGGCAAATTTCTCTCGCTATAAAGCCACATTCGCTCATGTTGTGTGGCATGTGGCACCATCTTGTTGAAACCACATATTGTCCAAGTCATGTTCTTCAATTAGAGTGCATAAAAAAGTCGGTTTTCATACGAACATAACGCTCAGAATTGGCAGTGAACGTCTCGTCGTCTTCGGCTCCACTTTCACTTAAAGTAGCAATAGTTGAGGTGGAACGAGCAAAACGATGATACACAAGGTGTTGTAAGGCCTGTAACCGGTACTGTTTCTTTTTTTTAATTTCCACAATTGTCTGAGTAATTAGACAATTGTGTGCACCATAATCTCCTCCTTAAGACCGAAACATTTGAATGACCACTTTTGTAGTAGTTTTTTAACGGGTCTTAAGGTTGTTAAGAGTCGGTTTAACAATTAAGTTTGGCAGATGTCGAAATACAGCCCTGTACTTTCGAAATTACGAGGTCTTATGTTCGTCAATACTCTGATGTTTCGGAATCCTCTGAAGATTGCATAACGAAATGATGTTTCTCTGTCACTCAATCAATTTCTCAAACCTGTTGCATGCGGATTGCAGCAGAACCTGTAGTCCAGCTGCGCGAGAAGCGTAAATCATTGCATAACTTTGGGCGCTGGCTAATTGCTTCCAGTTTCTTGAATTTTTGCTTTCTGGCATATATACAAGAATGCAATTCTCAAATGATCAGCCAAGTGATAGGGCTAAAGTGCTTATTGTTTGCACTGGAATTGACTATCTTATGGAAAATTATTGTTTCGTCACCGAATCTTGGTATGTGTACAAAATTTTAATTGAATCTGTCCATTTAAAATCGAGTTCAATGGAATTTGTTACAATCATACGTACATATGTACATACAGGCGAAACTAATATCTTCTTCTTCATTGGCGCTAATTGATGAGACTCCAAGTGAAATCAGGTTCTTCTCCACCTGATCACAGCCGGATACAGCTGGAGCGTAGTTTCCATCCGGTCGACATGACCTAACCAGAACAGCCGCTGTCTCTTTCCAAAACCTTTCTCTCGTAAACTATTAGCGCCGACTCATCGAATGTAGTCATCATCCATATTTCTGCATATATAGCCGATTGAGAATGATGAGTGACTTGTAAAGTTTGATTTATTTCCATCGAGATGAACTTTACTGAAAAACCTACTCAGTCCAAAGGTCCAAACACAAAATGTTTTGCATTCTTCCAGTTCAAACCATTTCTGGTGTTTTCCAATATTTGGGGCACAGAGATCAGAAAGCAAGAGTGTAAGTTTGTTAGAAAACCGTTGACCTATACATATTGATTGCAGGTTTTCGGAATCGATCCTTTCTTGTTTTTGTTGATGAGATAACCAAGATCTAACATTCTGTAGTAGTATTTTGCAATTCTTGCGTATGTCTTGGAAGTTCTGTACGCTGGATAAGCTTGGTTTCTTGAATCGAAGCAAGCGACAGGTGCTCCCAGCACAAGAAGTTGACTATGTATATATTATATATAACAGAAATGGAAGAATGTTGAAGTCGTCTATAGTACAGGCCGCAGAATCTATATATTTGAGAGAGGAAGACTGCTTACTTCCTAATTCGTACTGAATTTTTCAAACGAACACACTTATTTTAATAATGCTTTGTAAAAATACATCCGGTAACACTTTTTTGAAGCAACAGCGGTCGTAAACTTGCCTCTGTAGAATTGTTGGCCTACAACAAAGTTGGTAAACAGCAGTGGTTGAATGGGGACGTCAGCAAGTCAAAATAAAGTCTTTTTCGAGTTGTGACCATTGCATTTCTTTTACAAAAAATTCAAAATTGTTTGCTAAGCTTCAAGTACTCACTCAAAGTCTGAAAAAATGTCTACATAAATGTGCAAATGTTGCTTATGTGAAACAAACTGATCTAAGCTTCATAACAAAACAACCGAACATATGGAAACCGACTGCCACTACGGTGACTAATGTCATTATTACCCAAAGTTCTCGTCTTATCAAAAGTAGAAGCATCAATTTGTTTTTACAAAAACATAGGTTTTTACGTCGTCGGCATCGTTCTTCACTTCACATAAGCTCCTGAACTCCGAATTCAAAATGACACAGCCGCGTTATGAACTGCTGAATAGCAGCAGTAAACAAGAAGATGCTACCAGAGGAGGACTTTTAAGACGTGGTGCATTCGGTGCACTTGACGAAGAAGGAGACGATGAAAATGAAGAGATTGAACTGGGAACAGAGCACCGTATTAGGTATGAAAGCGATGAGGACGACAGCTATGTAAATCGACAATTAGCGGAAAAATTCGTTCCTCGTGATAATGTGCACAATGAAACTGGTGTATTAGAGGGATCGCCAACAACTGCCCGTATAGCCGGCTCTCGTCTATTGCAAATGGCAATTGGAACCGTAATGATTATTCTACTATACTTAATGCTTTCTATAGGACTAACATTCTATCAACAAAAATTAATAAAGGTGAGTATAGTGTATCACTAAATAACTTTTATTTGTTTATACATGTATTTATATATACATTGTTTTGGTTTTTCAGAAACTAAAATACCCTATGACCATCGTTGCTTACCATTTAATAATAAAGTTTTTCCTCTCTGCCGCTGTGAGGGAGATTTACAAATTGTGGCTTGGCAAAGCAAGAGTGAAAATAGATTTACACACGGCATGGCAAAAAATGGCTCCAGCAGGCATAGCAAGTGGCATTGATATTGGTTTCTCAAATTGGGGGCTTGAACTAGTGCCCATCTCTTTATACACTATGACGAAATCATCGACTATTGTCTTTATACTCATATTTGCGATCATGCTTGGATTGGAAAAAAAGGTATACCCTAAAGCTCAAAACTAGCGGCATTGGCATCCTATTAATATAAAAATTTTCAGAGTTGTTTCCTAATTTTTATTGTCGGCCTCATTGCGTTAGGACTGTTTATGTTCACTTACGAATCAGCACAATTCAATACGCTCGGGTTTATATTCCTTCTCCTGGCATCGCTCAGCAGCGGAATCCGGTGGAGTTTTGCGCAGTTCGTTATGCAGAAGTCTAAATTGGGTCTACATAATCCAATTGATATGATATATCATATGCAGCCATGGATGATTGCCTCAGTATTACCATTCTTAATCACTTTTGAAGGTAGAAAATACAATACTTAAGACTTACAGTATTAAAATTTTTCTATATTACTTTAGCAAACCAACTTTATACCGATATGTGTAATCTGCCAAACATACCCACTGGAGTTATTGTACGCAATATGATTTATATAACCTTTGGTGCTGTTTTAGCTTTTCTAATGGAGTGTAGCGAATATTTGGTGCTTTCGAAAACATCTGGCTTAACACTTTCTATTGCTGGAATTTTCAAGGTAGTTTGTCTAGGAATAATTTCAATCAAACTCAATCTTGAAACTCAAATTTGTGTTATAGGATATTTGCCAACTTGCTCTTGGAGTGGAATTAAACGGTGATCAATTGAGCTTAATAAACGTGTTTGGATTAGTTGTTTGTTTAGCTGGTATTTGTATGCATTTATTACACAAATATTTAACTCTTACAAGAACGGAAGAACTCGATATGGGTGATGACGATGGTGACTTTCATTTCACTGAATCTAACATCAGTCCAACAACAAATGGTAACGGCCATCAAACTGGCTTCAACGCCGGCGCAAGTGGAAATGCATTAACCAACGTAATGCAAAAGAAACACTCGTCGCAAACAGTGCCGTTGTTAGAACAAAGTGATTCTGATGATTCTAATAATGACAATGAGCAAAGCGCATCAGATGTTATATTTGACGTATTGAAACGAAGAGATATGCAGCGATAAGTAAAAGTTCTTTAGGCATTTTTAAATAGTAATTAGTATTACGATTCGTAAACTGGCTGATAGGCTAGAAAATGTAAATGTTGTAAAAATCATTCCGTATGTATTTAACTTTCGAGTAAATAATCTGCACTTAAAACTGTGAAAACTTTTTAGTAAGTAAGTGGATTTTTTGAGGAATTCTATCATTTATTTTTCAAAAAAAAAAACCTATTCTATAAGCTTCTATCCTCTTTTAGTTTGTATATACATAATGCATACGTATTAATTAATGCAATTTATTTAACTTGAAAATGCAAGAGTTTAATAAAATATTTAAAAGAATTCTTTTATGAATATATTTTGTTGCTTATATATTTACATATATATATGTAGATACGAAACAAACTGCAAGCTGTCCACAACAGAAATTTCCTAAATATTCATAGGTAAAATAAGTTTTTATTTAAAAACAGCCAATCTATAATAAATATTTTTCTTTTTACTTCAATAATACCATTTTAACGGAAGTGTCGTATGGAAAAAGGAAATTAATTCAGTTGTTAGGATTACCCAATCAACCCAAAATATGAGATATACTAAATAAAATCCAATTTATATAGACACAAGTTAACGATTCCGAATTATTTAAACTGTTGACCAAGTACTTAGATTTGTGTCATTGCGAGACGAATATGAAAAAATAATATTCTAAGAATACGCTTGCCTCTTGACGGAAGATTATAATACCACAAAGTGTATTTCTGGATATATATTGTTTGCGAAAGCACACTTCTGGATCTTCTCCTGGATGCCTTAGGAAAAAATTAAGTGCTGTGGGTGTCTTCTTCATATGGTAATTAAATGCTTCAGATCCCAATTTTAATACCACTGAATCATGGAAGCAACAGTGAATTTTTATCAGTATATTTATTTCTAATACTATAATCTAATATAATTTTTTACTGGTCTATACTCCTTATAGCAGTAACGGCCAAGTAATTACGCGGTATATATCGATATAGATATATATAATACAAGTGTACACATGTAATAATATATTTATTAACACAACAAAAATATTCAATGTGAAAAAGAAAAATCATTTAAGAAAACTGAAAAAGGATTAAGACTTCAACAAAAACTTTTTACTGAGGGTCACAACCTCATAGTTTAAAACTAAATAATTTCACCCGGGCTTGTTACTATTATTCTCCTGCGTTTTGCCATTGGACATTCAGTGCTTAAACTTGTATTATCATATTGTTCTTCAGTACTATCCTCTTGAAGTACTGCGGAGTGTGTTCTCTTTCCCAGTATTAATGAAGTCTGCTTCTCTTTTTGTTTATCTTCCTCGTCAGATAACTCAGATTTTGTATCGCATACAGATACAAAACCAGATTCCGGACTATCGCAAAGATTTCCCTCGTTAGTTGAAAATTTAGCTGCAGCATACAGCATTGCTTGTATTTTACTCAGATGTAAATTATGCAATGCAATAATTGCTTCCATATAAGGTGTTACCACTTCTGAACTATATTCGGTAATTTTTTCTAGATAGGGTGTCCAAGTAGGTCGGACAAATGAGAGATGTCGCACAGCGGCAATGCAAGATGCCGCAACAACTGAAGGACGGGCATTGGCGAATTTAACATCTGTAAAAAATAATAGATTTTACTAAAAGAAAGCTGCAAATTAAGCATATTTAAGAAAGGCATACAACTTAAAGATTCATCCACCAGTTCGAACAATAATTTGCTTAAGGCGGTAGCCATTTCGTCGTAGGTTCTATAAAACGGCGACACTATATCAGTCGTTTGACCGCACCGATATCCATACGAATAGGCATGCCAATTTTGTAAATACATTTGGAAATCGTGCAGAGTTATTACATTGTTGGCAAAATATTCGGCAAAAGTAGCTACAGTGGGTCGAATCAAATCAAAATGGAACAGCATTAAAACCTTCATTTCAGCTTTCCGGAAATCGTCCAGAGTATAAAAATCGCCCACCAACTTGTTTAGATCGACAAATTTTGGCGCGTTAATGTCAGCTTCTTCAATTTTAGCAGCTATTATTAAACAAGTTAATGCAGCTAGATTTAATTTTTCTGTGCGAATAGTATAATTATCCATAAATCCGTCTAACAAATATAGCGCTGAAATTAAAAGGTTTTTAAAACAAATTCCAAATATGAAATTTTCCAAATATAATATGAACATCTCAAGTTATGTTCGCAAATGAATAATGATTTACACACACCACAATAATTATTTTTTAAAATACAATGAAATATGCATTATATTTCAGTAAAAAACCATAAAATTTTAAAATCCCCGTTGTTGTTTGTTGTTCGATTTAAATTGTTTATTATAATTATATTAATATTATTTTATGGTATTATAAAAGTGATGATGATAATCAAATAAATCTTCCATTACATTATTGATATCTAACGTATATGAATAAACATACGTAACTAAAGGGTAATCCATTTCGAGTTTCTTACTTTAAAAAAACAAACAGAAAATTAAAATTTATTGGGTATTGTTTGTTATCAATCGATAAAACATTCTTTGTCATTTAATTTTTGAAGATTATCTCTTTCAAATGCTGGCCGCGGCTACGTCTCATCCGTTGAGTTCCTTTGGAGATGACTCGTTCAAGCATTTTGACTTGTATCTGGTAACTGGCGAATGAAAAACGTGATATTTTGCTCCAAAGCCTGATTTGAAGCGGGATTGTCCGCACAGACTTTAGTCTTCATATTTCCTTACATGAAAAAGTCTAACGGTATTATATCAAGCTATTTTGGTGGCCAATCAACCGGCCCAAAACGTGAAATTATCTGCTCACCGAAGTGTTATCTTAATAAATCTATAGATTGATGCGATGTGTGGGAAGTGGCGCCGTCTTGTTGAAAGCAAGTGTCGCCAAGACCACGAGCTTCAATTTGAGACATCAAATAACTGTCGCCATCGACGTCCTCACAGTTATCGTTTTTGAAGAAATGTGGACCGATTATTCCACCGGCCCACAAGCCACACCAAACAATTGTATATTTCTGGATGAAATGGCAGCTCAATTTTACTAGTTTATGTACCCATTGAGTCAGAAATGGACCTTATCGCAAATCGAACAAAATTTGGCTCGAAAACGAAGGTCGGGCGGCTTCATTTCTGGCCCAAGCTGTATTTTATACGCCGAATCGGCTTTCCACGGTCTTCATGTACACTCTCAGCTACTGAACAAAAATAGTATGACAGCTTGACACGACTCACGGGTGATCTGTCAAATAAAGGCTAGTGAAAAAAGTACTTTTGGATCACCCGCTACATTCAAAGTTTGGCGGTTACAAAGTCTGATTCAGTGATTAGTCGTTTCTTCTCTTCCAGGTCTTCCAGAAAAATGTAATTATGGAAAGCTTGAAGCAAACCGTTCACGGTAAATTAAACTTGATGGTAAAGCATCGTACAAAAATTCAAACGAACTGAACTTTGAATATTATCCTGGAAGGTAAGAATTTCAAATAAATGAAACCGTAGATGCAATTTTTTTCGAATAGGTCCGTTCCGGATTTTCTTCCCGGAAGAAAATGAGTATTTTTTCTTAAACTAAGAAAAATGCAACATATGCAGCAATTTTTTCGAAAAAGTCGATCGGAAGAAAATATACGTATTTTGTTAAACTAAGCAAAAAGTTACCTACGAATCAATTATGAAGAAAATCGCACACCGATCGGAATTGGCGCAAATTATTGGTATCGGTCACTTATATACACATCACTCTCTTATATACATATATATACACATATATATATATATATATATATATATAGATTTACGACATATTTCCCAACTTAGGTAGTTAGAGATATGTGAAAATATAGCTACTTAAATCTAGGATTAAAATAAATATGATCCACTCACCTAAATGTAAAGTTGTTCGTGAAAGTCTATGCATTTCCGCAGCAACCTTCAATAGACGCAGCATAGAAGGACGAAAAACACTCTGTTCTGAGTGGAACCCCAAAACAATTCGACATAACTCCGTTTCGCGCAATGTTTGATATATATCGTCAGAGTAATCACAAATCCATTGTGATTTCTCTATTCGCTAAGAAATTACACATATTATCTTTGTTTATTATTAAATTAAAATATAAAATTACTTGATCGGTGCTTAATTCATAAATATTTGAACATTTTCGGAAAACATCAATCATATCGGTTACAACAGCTCCTGACGCTTCTTCCGGCCAAGGAACTCCGACACCAAAGTTAGTTATAGGAATTTCCGGTGAAAAGCAAGAAAGACTGGCATAGCCACAATCAAAAATGTCCAACGTTGTACTGATATTCATTTCCAATACTTTATAACACTCGCTAAGTTTTATTTATTCAATTATTTATAGTACATTTATTCTCATGGTTTGTGTACATAAAAATATGAACTAGAAAATTTGACAAGCGGTTCCATTAACGGTTATCCGTAATTCGCTTTCATTAAACTTTTCGCTTTTGAAAGTGTGTTGTTGGTAAAGTTACAGGGTTCCTATATTCTGTATGAAATAAAGCATGCTCATAGGTAGCACATGTATTAATGTCCAAATGAGTTTGATTTTTCAATCGAAGTAATTTAAATTTAAAATAGCATTTTTAAAAATTAAAAGTTGTGCTTGAGAAAGTGCATTTTTATAAAGGAATAAACAATTACTTAAATTGCTGAAATTTGTCATGAATGGTGAATAGTGCAGTGGTTAAATTTCGACTATTCATTAAACTAAGTTTAAACTTAAACTCCGCACATCTGCTGCTGTTTTAATGTTGATATTTGATTAGTTTAAACTAGGACTAACAACACCAATACTGTCAAATAATGCAGTTAATTTGCATAATGATAGAGAAAAAAATATCCGCCAGATTATAATACCTTTCGTAGGTAAGATCAAGTTACAGACTTTTAATTTTTTTTATCTTATGGATTTATTGATATTTTTTAATTTGCGTACATTTTCCATATACTTTTGAGTTGTAGACTTTAATACAACAATATTTCTACTATATATATAAAAGGTATGTACATATTTACAATATACGGGTGCTTGTAAATACAAACATCATTATTAAAATTTTTGACCAGCAAATAAAATTTTAATTAAATTTAAAATTTTAATATTATTTTAGCCAAAATCCTTTTAGAAAATATTTTTAACATTCACAAATTTTGTTGTTTTCCGTATTTTTTCTTTTTATGGAACTTCTTCGGATTGATGCCATAAGCTTTAAGACGTTCGTCGCTAATGCCTACGCTACTATTAGGATTCTTTGTTGTATTCTTCTCTGAATTGCTTCGAGATTTATCGCTTTTAGCAGCATTTGTTTTGCCTTTAAAGGGATTTGATTTATTCGGCTTAGACTTGAAACCTTGTATATTGCTGACCTTTTTTACAAAAGATTGATCATTCGCAGACGCTTTGTTATTTATTTTAAAAGGATTCGTTTTGTTTGGATTTCGCTCTTTCGGCTGATGCTTATTGGCATCCACTTGGCTCGTGATTGTTTGGTTCGCTGACGTAACTTCACCTTTTTTGAGCTTTGTTTTACGTTTTTTCCGCTTTTTCTTATCTTTAGGTTCCGTTTTCATATTGCTCGAATCTTCGTTTAGTTTTATTTTTTTATTGGCTTCGTCAGGATGTTCTGAGGCTGTAACACTCACAGAGGTTTCCTCATTTAGATCCGCCACTGGCCCTTGCCGTTTCCTTTTATTTCCTTTCCCAATATTTTCATCACCGCTCGTTCGATTCTCTATAATAACGGAAGGAGATGCTGGTTGCATTTGCTGATTTTCGATGCGTTGTTTACTCTCCTCAACAACAACAGCATCATCATCATCATCATCATCAGAACTGAAAATACATATATTTGTATTAATTAAAATAAGTGATATTAGTTTATATGCTTACCCTTCTCCGTATAGGCTTTTAAATATTTTCCGTTTGAGCGCTTCGTTTTTGGCTTTCATTTTATATAACCTTTGATCTTTCTTTTCCATGTGTTCAGGTCGAATTTGGATAGTTTTCTTTAAACTTGCCCACTGATTCAGTTCTTTGTTTTTGGCTAAAAGAATCTGAAAATTTAATAGAAATGTATTAATATGCACATAAAACCATCACTTATAAATTTAAACATAAATTACAAGTTTTTCCTTAGTTCAATAAAACAATTAACATCAATGTTGTTATCTTTACAGATCTTACCTCTTCTATGGTGAGCCCAAAGTCGTTTGGTGTAGTTTCGACATATTTAAAACGACACGGAACGTCTCCAATCATATCCTCACAATCTAGCTTGTAGTACTCATCGATATACTCTTCATACGTTTTTTCATCTTCTGGATCGAATGCTGGTTTTTTCGATTTTATCAGTTCCATAAATTCATTTTTACGGCCTTTACGTCCTTTTCTTCTCTTTGTATTTTCAATGAGCTCCTTTTGCAATTTCTCTTTTGATGTTTCAGGATCGTAATCACAATCCATATTGAAATCTTCGTCTTCACAGTGTGGGCCATCATAATTATCTCCATCATTCGGATCGTAGTTATCCCAGTTTTCAAATTTTAAATCTTCTATATCAGAAGGGCATTCCGGTTTTTCTTCACCTTCATCAACTTGATAATATTCATCATTGAAAATTTCCTGCATTCGCTGATCATGTGCTGCAGGGTCAAAATCTTCTTCAAGTTCCTCGTCTTTAAATCCAAGTTCTTCATTGCCGGTCACCATTTTAAGTTTTCGTATTTTTTCTTCAATTTCTCTGCGCTTCATATCTTTGACAAGTTCTAATTCCTTCATTTTTTGCTCCTTTTCAAGCTTTTTCCGCTCTTTTATTTCTTGGCGCTTTTCCTTTCGTCGATCGTCTGATTGCCGAACCGACTGTTCGATAGTTCTTGGATAGCGTTTTATAAATTCCGTATCCGGTTCTTCAAAGCGGAAATTATATTTTTTCTCAAATTCTGCTTGTTTTTCAAGCTCTTCTTCATCTTCTGACAAAGGTTGCTTATCACCAACGATTTCATCATAAGTGGGAATATCTGACGATTTCGTGTTAGCATAACTAAAAGAAATTGGAACATTTATAAATGAATTAAATAAAAACGAATGAAATTTACCCCTTATTTAAAATAAAATCCCGCAGAAAACATTCCCTTTGCGATAACTTATTACTACTCCAATAGTTTTTAAGTGGTTTCAATGTTTCCTTGATTGGTTCTTCAATATCTTCTGTTTTGCCAGCTAACCATTTTAAATAATCTGCGTCCTCCTTGTCCTGGTCCTCTTTAGTTTTTGTGCGTTTTTTGAAAATACCTCCAAATGTATCTGCCTCTTCATCATCATCGGAGCCATTTACATTGACATTCTTAAATTCTTCCTTTAGTCTCCGTTCCTCTTCGATCAAGGTAGGAGATGCTGGTCGCTCCACCACATCGTCTTCAGAATCTGTTTCCAAAAAATTGTTGTAGGATTCATGAAAGCTTATAAAAAATCAGTGTGATTAAGGTAAAGTTTGTCCCTACCATCTTCAAATTTTCCACCCTTATCTAATATAATTTGCCGTTCATAGTCCTTCAATGTTATAGGTTTACTCCGTTTGTTTTTTGATATATCTGTTTTGTCCTCGCTCTCATTAGAGTTGTCATTCAACGCTTGAAAAAATTGTGTATTTTTGTCGTAAATCGTTGGATCTTTGCTTTTCAATGACGCCAATGTTTTAAGGAACTCTTGATCGAATTTCATATCAACAACTTCATCTTCGTCCGAGGACGTTTCACTATTGCTAGATGAATCGGAGTCTGCGACATCATAGCCCCGATCTTTGACTACAAATTATCCGAATTAATATTAAATGGTACAAAGTATAAAATTATTTATTATCAGGTTACTCTGCTTACATTTCTTTAGTAATTCTTTTTTACGGAAATTGTTGTAGGATTTTGCATATTCCTTGTTAGTATTTATTTGTAGATCACCGACGTCACTCTCATCTGACCCATCAAACAAATTTTTACTCATTTTGCCTATTAAATCGCTTTATATTCCTAACGAAATAACATTGAAACCAAGCAAAACATTCTATACCACACGTGCTGAAACAATTGTCAAATAACTTCTTTACCGTCAGCTATAAGCTGACACTACTAGCGCTGTTCGGTCAGAGAAAGCAATGATTTTACCCATGAGGACTTTTGGCAGTTGCTTAGCGCTCAACGCTCCAATTTAGAGACTGCAGTAAGATATATATACATATATACATATGTTTTACGTTCTCTGGAGTTGTATTGTGTCAAAAACAGCTGTTTTGTGGCATTTTGTCGATAACCTAGTGGAAAGAAAATTATTTACTACCTGCAATTTATCCATTTCATACCTGTTCCATACAAAGGATTTATACAGGTAAACATCTACGATGTATAAAGGTTTTAAAATATTTCATTAGTCATAAATCTGCCTGTATATTTGTGTTGAATTGCTTTAATAAAGAAATAAATGAATTCTATACTAATTTCGCAGAGGACAGACAAATCACTATGGCTGACACGGAAGATAACTCTATAACAGAAAAAGACAATTCTAAGAGTATGAGTATATTTACCTAAATTGTTAATAGTAAATACGTAGTTTTTAATTTATTTACAGTTTGTATTCTCTTAAATGCCACTGGGAATGTTCCAATCATAAAAAAACGAAAATGGACGGTAGATCCTCACAAAACTGTGAGCTGGATACAAAAGTTTATACATCAATACCTCAAATTAGATGCTAGTGAGCAAATAGTAAGTTCTACTACAAAAGCATGTGAATATAGTGAATTTATTAAAATGTAAATTTTTCAGTTTTTATATGTGAATCAAACCTTTGCTCCTGCTCCAGATCAAATTATCAAAAATCTGTACGAATGTCATGGAACTAACGGCAAACTTGTTCTGTATTATTGCAAGAATCAAGCTTGGGGTTGATTGGTCAACATACGTAGCTGAAATGCGTCAAATAGAATAAGATTAAATTAAATTATTGATTAAGTGCATATGCCATTCATTATGATTTTATATACATACATACGTATGTACAGACGTTTCTAATCGCCTAATAATTCCAAGAAAATTGTTTCTTTTCTGAACAGCAAAATTTTTTATTTCAACTGTAACTTTTATTCATTACGTTGTTGCAAAAATCATTTCTACAATATTCAACTATTTGGCTTAATGTCTGCTTTCTGTGATAAAAGCTAAGCTTGATAAGATTTAATTGCCTCGTAGTGATTCTAAATGATCTGCAGCCTCTTTCGAAATTCTGTGGTACTTAGCGATGGCAGGTCGGTAGTAATAAGCTTTGTAGTCATTGCGTTCTGCCATTTTAGCACGGACATCTTTCTCTAGCTGCCTATAATTAATTTAAGAATTATTAAAAATATTGCGAAGCATACAATTTTCGATTTCCGTTACCTTATCATGGCTTTTTCATTCTCCTCAAAAATATGGTGCAAAGCTTTCTCGTATTCTTGTTGTGGAGAAGGATATATATAACGAGCGATGAAGCGAGAAATCGGGTGCTGAAAAATATTTCATTTTAAAAAATTACATATAAAACAAAGATATCATGCATGTTAACACTTATTTTGTATTTTAGCACAGGTCAAGAAATTTTTTTATTTGTATAGTTATAAGACAAAACATTTTTTAACTGAAAACGATTCTTTCAGGGTATTTTAAATTTGATGTTACTTTCTGTTAGTGGCGTCGAAAAATCGTTTACGGTAATTAAATCAAAACTTTTCTTGCTTTAGAATATAAAAAAAGTAGCAGAATGTAATCAAACCTATAAAAGCAAGGTATTTTTGGAAATTTTACCAATTTATCTCAGACTCATTATATGACATTGGGTGATCTAACTTTAACCAATTTCCAACTACCTGAATTTTATTTTATTCTTGCCTATAAAAATATTTAGGTATATCTTACCTTGTGATATTCCCAATGTTTTGGTTCATAACCCTCTGTAATCTCCGTCAATTGGGCTGGTCCAATGAAAATGTTGCTGTATAAAACAACTGCTGTGATTGGAATAAGACCTATCATCACATAGAAGTGTAGCAAGTCTTTAAATTTGTTCCATTGAAAGCGGGAAGGCTGAATTGTAAAGTGATGATGTTCATGACCGGCATTACGTATCTGCATCTGGACAGCTGTAAAAAGTTTAAGTTCATATTAATTTCCTTTTTTCTGTAAACTGATGTTCAGCCGTTGCGTAATGTAAGCATCAATAGACACAACTCCTTATAATGGATTCTCACCATTTCGGCACACTGGTGACTGTAAAATTTTTCCATATTGTGTTAACGTCGATAATGGACGTGTAAAGCTGCTCCAAGACACCATATTTTCAAAAGTGCAAAATAATAGGAGTTCTGTAAATGGAATAGCACAATGTGAGAAAAATAAATATATTCAGATGTGTAAATATGTATGCTAAAAACGTCAGTGTCAAAATATGACAGAATGCCGATAAAATAGTGCAACGAATAGTGAAAAAGTGGACATCCAGCAGAGAGCGTACGATCTCTGCCTATATGTCAAATTGAATCTCTTTCATTCTTTTTCGTGGCAGTAATTTTGCGGGCGTGTGTATCAGTTTTGCTGTAGCTTCAAACTCTTATATTTTAATAAAGAAATTGTGTAAATTTACAACATGTACGGCGGTGATGACTATGGAAATACTGTAAGTACAAAATAGTTCCAATATTGATAGCCCGTGTGTAGTTACATGGTTGTAAAGTTTTTAACATAACCAAACTTTTTGTTGGGTCAATAGCGCAAGAAATATTTGTATTATAATGTTATTTCATCCATTTCAGGAATACTATGACGACTATGGACACACTGGGGACCCCCAACTCGATATGGAATATGAACGTGGTTACTACGCAAGCCGAATGCCCGACAATGTGAAGTACTTCCTGCAGAATTTTTGTCAAGCTATCAAGGAGGGTGTATTATTCGATATTCAAAATATGTATGAGAACACCTTTCCACAAATCAGTGATCATCATTTCGACAAAAGCGCTTGGCCTGATGAGCAAGAAGTATCTTCGATCGTAGATAATGACAAAGTTTTCCTTATTTTATATAAGGAATTGTACTATCGTCACATACACGCCCGCATTCCCGGCGGACCAAAATTGGATCAACGAATTAATTCCTTTTTCAATTATTGCGATTTCTTTAATCTAATAATTTCATCGCAGAATCCAGTAGCATTGGAATTACCCGATATCTGGTTATGGGAGCTGGTTGACGAATTTGTTTACCAATTCCAAAACTTTGCTCAGTACAGGTAGGAAAAAAATATACAATTTATTTTATTTTATTTACATTAATTTAATGTTTAAATAGGGCTCGTCTTACGGACAAAACCCAGGAGGAAATTCAACAACTTTGTGTAAACCACAGCAATGTTTGGAGCATTCTTTGCATATTGAATGTTCTTCACTCTCTGGTAGATATTTCCAATATTAAAAAGCAATTGGAAGCAATTTCCCAGGGTAATGACCCCCAAGGTGTTGCTGGCGAATTCGGAGAATTATCATTTTATAAAATGCTGGGTTACTTTTCATTGGTTGGTCTCTTGCGAGTACATTCATTGTTAGGAGATTACTACCAAGCTATCAAAATTCTGGAACCGATTGAAATACACAAAAAATCACAGTATTCTCATATACCTGCCTGTCAAATTTCAACTTCCTATTACGTTGGATTCGCTTACATGATGATGCGTCGTTATGCCGATGCTATTCGAACATTTTCGGAAATTCTCTTGTATATTCAACGAACCAAACAATTGTATAGCACCCGCTCCTACCAAAACGATCAAATTAACAAGCAAGCTGAACAGATGTACCACTTACTGGCCATCTGTCTAGTGTTGCACCCACAATGCATAGATGAGTCTATACAGCAGGTTTTACGAGAAAAGAATTATCATGACGCTATGTTTAAAATGCAATGTGGCGATCTTGAAGTTTTTAAGTCCTTCTTCATTTTCGCTTGCCCACGTTTTGTAAGTCCATGTCCACCTGCTGCTGACGCTCCGATGGAGGATTACGTAAAAGACCCTATGGAACATCAATTAATGGTATTCATGGATGAGGTACGCCAGCAGAAAGACTTGCCTACAACTCGTTCATACCTCAAATTATATACAACATTGCCATTAGCTAAGCTGGCTTCATTTATTGATGCAAATGCCAGTGAAGATGACATTTCAAAACTTCTTATTCGTTTACTTTGCTTTAAACATAAGATGCGTAACTTGGTTTGGACAAAGGGCTCCAGTGGTTTGGAAGGATCTTTCAAATCTGGTTCTGAGGTAAGTTCATCTTCATCAAATGTGATTAGTTTATTCTTAAAAACTCATGGTTTCACCTACAGTTGGACTTCTACATTGATGATGACATGATTCATATTGCCGATACAAAAGTCTCACATCGTTATGGCGATTTCTTCGTACGCAAAATCATGAAATTCAATGATCTTAATCGTAAATTGAAGAACATTCATATATGAACAACTCATTTTTAATATTTCATATTTTATACAAACTACGCATAAAGAAACACAAATGTATAATTTAAATTTAATAATTGGCACTTCAAAGAAAATAAAAGGGACGTAAAGTCCAAAGAGCCGAATTTTTATAATGTTTCCATTGAAGTCAGCGTAAAGAAAGAGTACAAAGAAAATAAAGACGCGTAAAGTCCAAGGAGACGAATTTTTATGTTTCTATTACATAGTTGAATGTTTAACCAACACCCAGCAAAAATCAAAAATTTTAGATAGTATCTTTTTATTTACATTCGTTATGGGTAAATTCAAAATTCTCACTATCAGCAAAACAAGGAAATGTGTTAAAATCTCAGCAAAGCTAGGTTTAAAAAGTTTCACTAACAATCGAACGTACAGTTCAGCTTGACGATTCTCTTGCTCCTATTTATATTGCGCCGCATGATGAATTTGTAAGTGGAGCATTTCGTTGAACACAGAAGCAAACTCAGATAGCCGCAACACCTGCCGAGAGACGACTACAGAAGTCGCTGAGTTGTGAATTCCCATGTAAAGATTCGACAACTTATCCATATTCTGTTAAAAATATTGAAAACTAAATAATAACTTAAACCCTTTTTTGCATATCAAAAAACCCCGAATCGTACAAAGCATCCGAACTCTTTGGCTATCCCATTGGCCTCCGCAACAAATCAAATGCGCCTGAAGAGAAGAGACTCATTACCCTTGTGAAGCGAAACATTGAGCCAGCAGCCCTTTTTAAGATCTTACCAACTTATTGTGAGGCTCCTGATAAAGAAGCAGACTCAATAAATCAATACAAATATTAGTAAAAAGTTCCCATTAGTTCTTATTTTGCGCCTGTACTTTTCTTCAGAATCAGTTAAACCAGAGAACGTAGATATAATATTATTCTGAGTTCTCTGGTTAAATTAACGAAGGGTTCATATGTTTTGGAACCCGGCAAAATCGGATTGAATACGCCACGAGTTCTATTTTTAAATATTTCTTTACAGTGGTAAGCAATGAAAAGATTTCATGAATTTCTTTGGATTTGGAATAATGTTAAATAATATTTATATTTGATTAAAAATGAATTTACATAAAATACACTCTTCATATTGTACACATAATTAAGATATACCGGTGAACTGTTCATAAACAAGTTGTACTAGAAATCATCAATGTATTTTACAAATGCTCTTTACAATGATTTTCTTTTTTGTTTTTCAAAATAAAAATATTTGTTGCGCTTAATTTTTTAGTGCCCTTGAATAAAATAAGTTTCAATAGATTGGCGCACACTTACAATAACCTTTGTACGCAGGTAGCGCATGAATGTTTTGTTTTCTTTTTGTTTGTTTTTTCTTAAAAATTGTTCTTAACAAGTTTATCTTTTATGCTTAATGAAATCTTATTTCAAATTTTAGTATATAATACAAATTTGCGCACCGACAAACTTAAAGCTGGGTGCTTACTTTAAAACTTACACTAAATTGCAGTTGAATTTATGGTTGTGCATTTCGAATCTCATCATTTAAAATCTAGTTTCAGCCGATTGGGGTATGGCGCTGATTTACATCGATCAGGTAAATGTCCTTGTGATTTTGTAGTACGAAATCAATGAATGCATTTATCGGCCGGATATCCTCGAGAGTTGTATTGCTTCTATTAGACCATAAAAAGTTCGGGCCGAAAACAATAGCCAAATTCGAAGATGTCATTTTGTTTAAGTCTTCGCATTCCATGACCTGCAGAAAAGACGATAAGTCAAAAATTTAATACAGATTTGTGTAAATATTATAAATGCAAAGACATACACGGACTAGAAATTCTACTAAGTACTTAAAAAGCTCATAGTTTTCTTCAGGTAACTTTTCCCTAATAAGCTGAGTAACATTACGTGAACGCTCCTCCTTGGGCCAATCTGAAATCAAATTTTTTTTAAATATATTTTTAATAATGCATTAATGTAACGGTTTTTTTTTTAGTATCTCTGCGTAAATCTAACATGCTTTTAGAACGTAAATACTATAAAATAGTGAAGTTTTCCATGTGAAATTTAAAATATTAAAATCATATTCTTAAGAAAACATAACACAAATATATCTCTTTAATAAATAATAGATGCAATAATTTCGAGAGAGTAATTATGTGCCTTCAGTCATTTATATGTGATATAGGATTTTTTTTTTAATATTACCTAAGAAACTCGTGATGTCATCGTATAACTCGAACGTAAGCAACGGTTCGCTAAGATCCCGTAAGAAGCTTTTCAACAACCCAGCAATTACGTGCACATTAACCTTTGATAAGTCTACATCTTCACCACGATTTACTCGCTCTTTCAACGCAATTATTTCGGTATGATTGCCTGATCGTCGAAAAATGCCTTCTGTATCAATCATGCCAGTCATAGAGAGAGAATCGACGCATTTTCTTACAATTGGTGGTATAGAGTTCAGGCAAGGGCTATTGGAAACTATAAATTTAAGTGGTGCACCAAATTGTACTGTGTTGGCCATTTGTTTTGTTGTGCTATTGTTACCGCTGCCGTATCCGTAACCGAAAGTACCAGAACTTTTACTGCGAAATAATTGATCGTCGAAATCGCAAACGCTGTTGGGTACCTTTATCTTAGATAGACCCAAAGCTTGGCGTAATTCGTCCAAACTGGAAATATATACAAGTTTTTGTCGAAACTTGTCGCTAATGAATGGACTAAAAAATTTCCATATAAAACGTATAAACAAAGTAGGATGGACTACGTATAAATTTTTCAGATTTTTACGAAAATTCCGATCTAATTCCTTATAAGAATTCCACAACAATTGTGCTGATGGTTTACTATGCTCCTTTAGGCCTTGATGAAAATAGACGAGAATATAATCATTCTCTACAAATGGTTCAATTTCTTTTATAACATCACTAAAAGACAAAAAAAAAACAATTTTCATTAATTAATTTATATATTTATCAATATTGCACATACGTACCAGATGAATTTTTCCATTTGTGATTTTTCAGGAAATCGTGATGCATAAATTGCAAATATATGTCTACCTTGTTTGTCTGTTCCAAGAAAATCGCATTTATTTTTAACGCTCACAATACTTTCAGCTTGGTCCTAAGTAGGCGGGAAACATTAATTAAATTAACTTTTTTTCAGTAATGTGAATTAATAATAGTTACAACACACCTCCCTTAGCTGATCCTCAAAATCGTCTTCAAGCGGATTCACTATGTCCGCAGGTTCAATTTCCTCGTCTGTAATAATAAATCTGATTTGGATAATTTCTTCAGATTAGTGTTCAACACTCACCTTCAGTTAATACAAACCCGTCAACCATAACATCTTCTAAAATCAAAATAAATATCTAAATTGAAGTCAGCTTGTTGAATAAAAATAACAGTATTTTTTTGTGAACATTTGGCAAGGAACGGTAAGTTCTATTCGCAAAAGTAACATAGTTCTATACTTATTGAAATACTATCACTATATACTCGAATAGAAGATATTAGTTGTACATTGCTTATGAAATGTTCACAAAATCTACTATTACGGCATTTTATCGATATAATACAACATACTTTGCAAAGGTGCGGGCGATAGTAATTCTGTGTCATCGAATTCTAATTTCGGTTCGAAATCATGCAAATCTGACAAGCTCGGCTGAGGTTCTTCTGAATTTTCCACTATTGGATTTATTGCTGGCCCTAAAGAAAGAAGAAAATATTATTTTTTAAAGATGAACATCTCTAAATGCAGGATATATTAATCTTACAATTAAGTTTTAGCCTTTAGCGGCAAGAAATCAATATTTTGATGATTAATAATCAATGAAGAGAGAGTTAATCATTTAATATATTTACAAGTAATTTTAAAGATTTAATGAGCGTCAATACTAAACATGCACACAAATATTTAATACATAATAAAATCGTTTAAGCATTTACTCTAAATACGTGGGATGCCGAATACGTTAATTTACTTGGACTTTCAGTAATTTCTTAATATTGAAAAGTAGAGTATGTTTTTATTTTAGTTTTCATTGTATAAAATATATGTACATCGTTTTTTTTTTAGTGTACAACAAAACAGCTTTTCACATTGATGTGAGAGAATTATGTATATACATACATACATATTTTGCGAAAAACAATAATCATATATGTATATATGTCGATCATGCGGTTATAAAAGCATTTAAAAAGTATCTTACTTACCAGGAAGACGAGAGGAGATATGGGCATTTCCAAGTTTGGGATCCATTGCCTGAGGCTTTATGGTCACCGACTAAGTAAACTATTTACAGAATGATTCAATCCAATTGTGCCAAAGTTACAAGCTGATATTATTATTATTTGTTATATTTCTGTAAATAAAAATACTCCGTTATAATCAAAATAAGAATATTGCAAAAAAAAACTCCTGTGTATGTACCTTTGTGTGTATATGTATATAAAACACAAATAACATGTATATTATATATACTTAATTACAAACATTCAAGGTCCAGCAAAATGAGTCGACTGAATTATAAATGATGAGAAGCAGATATAATAAACGGAATCGGACCTTTTGCTTATCTACAATAACATACTCTTATTGTGATTTATAGATAAAATGTTAGGTAAAACATTACTTATTTTGCTTTGATTAGAATTTGCACTGAATTAATGACGTCATGCTTCTTAAATGGCAAGTATAATTTGATCAGTACAAAACTTTAAATTTTACTTAGCACGAAGAAGTGATTGTCTTATGATAACCTTTGTTGAAGTTCGTCTAAGTTTTGTTTGGCCTCTAAAATTACAGTTCAAACGGCCTTTTGGCCATCAGTGCCAAATACGCAGTGCTTTCAATATTTCAGAAATGTAATTTCTTATCAAAGCTTTGTTGTATCTATATTTTGCGTTGCTGTGGTTTTTGTGTAGGGCGTGTTACCCGTCCTCCGCGTCAACAAATACAGTTCAATTTATATATCATCAAAAGTAAAGGTGATATTTTTAGAAGTAATGTTTAATTAAGTACTGTAAATTAATAGTTATTTTCGCTCTACACGTATTAAAAGATTAGCAAACTTTACCTTAATCTTTACAGCTTGTTTTCTTTACTTGCTGTTTGACTTTTAACTTTTCTTTATTTTGTTGCTTTGTTAATTGGCGTTAAACAGTTAGCAGTGTTGCAAAGCGTCAAATATTTCCGATGTAAAGATTTCAATTAAATAAATTACATCAAGCTTACATAGTGGAAAGCTTTGCATTAATAAATTTGCCTACGTATTTCGGTGGTTCATTCATATCAAAGAACGGATATGAATTTATTCTTTATTGATAAAATAATATATGTTTTTTGTCAATTATCTGCAATCACTTCTCAGATTCTCCTTTTGACAGCAAAAATTTCACTTGCGTAAAAGCTTTCTGGTAGCAATATCCGTTGATATGTTGTTGTCGCAAAATTTTTCTCGAATTAGTTTTAAATAATTTAGTAGTAGTGATTAAATGCGAGAAAACTATTTTCTATCTCCCATCTCTTCAGAAATTTTTAGCATTTGGTTTATGCAGCCAATATGCGTGATAAACGCTATTTAACAAATGAATATGATATTTAATCAAAGTGTCTATAAAAAAATAGCAATCAAATTGCTGTAAAAAACAGTTGCAAGCAATCGCTGTTTGCTTGTGCAGACGTTGGAGTAACGAGCAAGTTCGCAGTCTCGCGTGGAGCAGAACATAGCAAATTTCTTGCTTGGCAACTCTACTTACTATTTGACGTTTTATCAAGTCCGAGCCCCAAAATAAAACTGCAGATGATAAAAGCAAGTAGTAAAGCGATTTTTATTATTTTTCTGGTGACATGGTATAACATTTATTTATTTTAAAAATATCTGTGTTTCATTTAAAATTTTTATATTTTTAGGAAATTTCATTCAATTTAATTAATGGTTTATTCACTACGCCGTGCAATTAAATTACATGAAAGTGACATCTTTAAATTTTTTTTGGATCAACATTGAACTTTGACATATATTTCGCTTACGCACATACACATGTATGTATGTATAGGCAAATTATTTTAAAACCTAAATAACACCTCATCACAGATATATTATAATTAATGGCTACAAAACGACGACCGCTACGTCCAAATATGCCCGGTCCGAGTTCTTCTAATATGAATTTTAGACCGGGTGGTCCGGATATAAAAAGAGGAGAGGCAAAAGGTACTCGATCCACAGCTGCCCCAACTAGCGTTAGAGAAATTCTTGTTATGATGATTATGCACGCGTGTAAAAGGACAATTTTTTTCGATACAAACCTAAAAGTAGCGCTATATTTGGGAAGTCTCTTCCTGGTATCATTAATAGGAGATTTTATACCATATCCGAAAACATATTTTGCACGTTCAGACAATTTATTTAACGTTTATTTTGTGAAAGTCGGTTGGGGCTGGACGCTGATGCTGACAGTACCATTTCTTGCTATGACATCATACACTTTGTGTTGTGGCGATATGAAGAAAATGTTGCGCCATCATATCCCAAGAATTGTGGTAGCTACTTTCTTCTGGCTTTTTTGGACTAAGTTCTTTAATATTATCGAGACATCATACGGCCGTTGTACAGTAAAAGGTAAGCAATTAATGAATACATGTATAATAGTTGAGCAAAAAGTCATTAAAATTCTATTCCTTAGGATACGGAACGAAATCGTCATGCTTAAAAGCTGGTCACTTATGGAACGGTTTCGACATATCCGGTCACGCATTTATATTAATATACTCGAGTTTGGTTTTAATTGAGGAGGCGCGACCAATTATTAAATGGGAGTCCATCAAGGATTATCTTCGTAATGAAATACATGATCGCAGCGTTTCGGAGCATTCAAGCACCAACCCATTGAGGAATCTATCAGAAGAGGAAATTCGTAATCTTCATTTCCTCTATGATCGATTAACGCCAGTCATAAGAACGTTATTTATTGGTATGTCCACTCTACAATTACTATGGGATGTAATGCTAGTTGGTACTATGCTATATTATCATCACATGGTAGAAAAAGTAATTAGCGGCATAATAGCCATCCTTACTTGGTACTTTACTTACCGCTTTTGGTATCGTACAAATTTATTACCAGATCCTGCTGGTAGTGGATCATTCTTTTATCAAAGAGAAAACAAAGATACGTTTGTCTACGGACGCCGACCGACAATGATGACACCGGCTGGCCCTTCCACGAGCAGTGGCAGTCGGAGCAATATGCCTAGCGGCTCTTTTGGATTGTCAGCACAACCTAAATTTATGGGCATGCCTTTATATACCAATGCAAGAAATGCGAATGCTGCTGGAAGTCCAAATCTAACGGGAGCGAATAATAACGGCAAGGAGGTGGATTCCTAGTTGAAATGTTTGAATTTTGGGTAGCTTTTTAGTATTTAATTGTTTTGTTCGTATCTGTTGCTTAGTATATATTAAGATAAACATTGTGAAAGATGCAAAACACATCTACGGAGGCTTACTGAAATGGTAATGGTGAACTCGTTGTTAACATTAAGTACGAAATATTATGAATTTTTACATCTTATAGACTACTCCATGACAAAAACTTAGTTTCTATTTTTCTATGGGTAATTTTTGTGTATAAACCACCAACAATCAATCATAAAACTATAATTTTGTCAAAAGTAATATGTGTCTTTACTGGTTCGTGGAAACGCAATAAATTCTTTACTTCTCCAATTTCGCCTTTATACCTTTTTCTTTTGCTTTTAATAATTTTTCGATTTGTTTTATAATGCGACAATAAGAATGCTTATATTTTAAAAGCTTTATTTGTTAAGAATACTCATATTTTAGTTGATTTATTTATTAAGTTATATTTTGTTTTATTGGGATATTAGTATAAACCACTTGTTGAATGTGTCTGCATTAAAATGTTGTTCATTTTGTTAATACTATGGATTTTTTATACTGACAATTATTTATGGGCTAGGGCGGCAAACATAGCCATACCCAAAAATCCAGCACCCGCACCAATTTTATAGTTGGCTGGCGTGTTCTGCCAAATATCTTTGAGTATTTTAAAATTGCTGGGTATTACTTTTTGATAAGCCTCACGCTTCTTGAATCGCAGAAAATAACTTTCAACGTATGGCAATTTGCCATAAGTCCAGTAGTAGTTTTCGAATCCCAATTGGTAAAGTCTGTGCAATAACAATCCAAAGCTGACATCAGCCAATGAAAATTCATTCGATACAAGCCACTCTCGTCCGGGATTCTCTTTAAAATCATTATCGATATAACGCAAAACGTTGTTGACAGCATCAAGTATTTTCTGAAATTCCACTCGAGATTGGACCAAGCGTTTACGTCTATCTTGGATATCAAGCTTTCGCAATAGACTTGTTTTATTTGTCTCAGCTTCCTCAATGGAACGCTTCAGCATTTCATAAACTTTCTCATTATTCCCTGAAAAACAAAATGTATGATGTCTGGCATTAATAAATGAAATGGAATGTTTAATAAATGAAAACTTATTAATTGACTAGGCAATTATGTTTTTGTTGTTGTGGCCAAAAAAAAATTCCCTAAAATAGGTTCTGTGGAATGTTGCGGGAGCTTTTCGATTTTAGTCGCCTCTCACATCAGCCATACCTTACAGCAGTAAGCCGCTACAACAACAATCACGGGACAACAATTGATGGGGGTCATGTTGCAGGGAGCTCCGTGAGACCGTAGAGGTCTGTGGGTGTTTATCCAAAGTGGGTCAAGGTGCTGAGGGCACTGCCGTATAGGGTAGGGACGCGCTTGGGCGTTGGAAGCATGGTGCCACATAACTTGTGGACCACTCCCTGTGGGTTTCAAGGCCTCTGCAGACCTTAAGGTGACTCCAACCATTACACTGGTTGCAGCTAACCGAGGTGGAGGAGTTGTGGAGCCTTTTTCGGCACAGGCGGCAGAAATAATCCGTCGCACCAGGGTTGGTTTCGACGTTAGCCCTAGTGAGAAGGTTTTGGAGCAGCCCTGCTGCGAAGTATTACTCCATTGGTGACCTGAGACTGATTTTACCTTTTTTAATTCGCGTTTTGTAACCACGATTTCCGACCGAGCACCTACTCCAATTTGTAGTTTCGCGTCTCGATATTTTCCTAAAAAATGGAGCGATCTACAGTTTGTACGAATCCGCCTCCGAACGTCTGATGGTTTTCTTATGAGGAGCTTTTCATTTTATGTGAGAAATACACTCGGAGGGATTGAAATTTCCTGCCGTTGAGAGTTGTTCTTGATGTGCTTTTGTTCCGGGAGCTTTCTGTCTACCGAGATCACTTCTCTATATCTCACGTAAACGGGGGTAGTGACGGGGGTTGCGCATCCTCAGCGAACTAATTGGATTTTATCAGTGTGAGCTCCGACCTTCGACAGCCGCTATGTCTGAATTATGTTTCTCTGTAAAGCTTATAAGACTAATTAAACAGACGCTGAGCTACACCAAAAACCACTCAAGATCGGGGTGGACAGCGAAGGCACAATCCTCTATAAGACCGCAAAACTGCTGGCGTATGCTGATAATATCGACATTATCGGGCTCAACAACCGCGCTATTAATTCTGTTGAGATCAAGACGAAATATCTCCTGCCATCAAACAAACAGTCCCACGTAACTTCATAACTTTGAAGTCATAGATAACTTCGTCTATTTTGGAACCAGTGTTAACACCATCAGCAATGTTAGCCTTGAAATTCAACGCAGAGGCTCTCTTTTCAACTGTTGCTACTTTGGACTTAGTAGTCAAGAGAAAAGTAAAGTATGTACATACTTTCTTCCAAGAACACGAAACACGAATCTACTAAACGCATGGAGGACGACAAAAACCGGCGCTAGAAGTTTTAGTGAGAAAGGTCTTGCGAACGATTTATGGGCTTTTACCAATTGACAACTGTGAATATATCAATAAACGGCCAGTGGCTAGGTCATATCGCCCGTATGGAAGAAATCTTCCGAACTTTGAAGTCTTCGATACAATGGATGCAGAGAAACAGGAGCCTGGATTTACTTCGTGCATCCGATTGACAGCGAGAGACAGCCAATAGAGGAAAAGAGTGGCCTCCTATAGTTGACACGGTGCCTACTGCAATCAAGAAGAAGAAGGTGTGAGGAGCTGTTCAAACTCATATTTTGCATGTAATAAATCTTTCTAAGCATTTGAAATAAGATTCGATTATGACTAAAACTCACTCAGACATGATTTACGAATGGGTCCAATAAACGGCGGTTTCGGCATTAGTTTCAGATCTTCATGAATGAATGAACCTAAACTGAGAGCACCAACAGGCAACTGTGATATTATATTTTCGTAGAATTCCATTTTTTTGAACTCATCCACATTGTTGCCACGTGGTTTTAGAACACCATGAACATCTATTGAAAATAAAAATTAAAATTATTTACAATCATTTCATTATTGCAGATTTTGTGAATTTACCTTTTCGGAATTTGTTATCCAAATAGCTGATGATGTGATTTGAATTTGGAATAACAAAAGTGCCGTCTTGCAGGACAGGAACATCTCCCTTTGGATTGAGGTTAAGGAACCACGCCGAATACTGTTCACCGTTAGCCAAATCAATGGCATACGGAATAAAGTCGATGTTCTTTTCATAAAGTATTAAAATAACCTTAAAAACAAATGCAATAAAACAACAATTTAAGTTCCGTGAATGTTTAAATAAAAAAACAGAAATAATATTAACCTCAAAAATATTACAGAATTCTTTTAATTTTCATATTACTTGAAATTTCTATATCGTAAAAGATTTTTCTAACTGCGGTTGCCCCTCAGCAAGGAATGTCAACCCCACGGAGTGCATTTCTGACATGAAATGAAAGCTCCTCGTAAAAATACATTGTCCGTTCGGAGGTGGCTTGGAATAAACGCACACCACAAATTGGAGAAGGAGCTCGACCGAAAAACGTGTCAGCGGTTACAAAGCACCAGTAATATATAAAAGATTTTCATTACATGTTCCTTGATCGTGCCAGCTTCATTTCCCATAATACCGGATTGGTTCGGTTTTACCGCATTTGCACTACCAGCCCCGGGGACTCGTGCTAACATGTACAGATATGGTTAAATCAACTTGTTTCGATATTCAACTACAGGACACTACTGCAATTGGCGTTCCATTACGTGATTATGACAAAGATTGAAACGCGATTGCTCGCTTTAAGAACAACAAAACGGATTTAGCCGATGATGAGCTACTCAGCTATGGTGCCGAAGAACTGACAAGGTGCATGCTTCAGCTGTTTTTTGAAATATGGTTGGACGAAAGCGTGTCTGACGATTGGAGCCAGCGGGTGAGGGGTCAAGAATTTACCCGTGAGGAGGCATGCCTGTCGTAAGGGGCGACTAAAATCCGTTAGTTTGAGCGACAATCGGGTCTTTATACCGGAACGACCCGGTTTTTTATCCGCCCAAAAACTATCACTCCTGCAACATTCCTGAAAAGTACTTTGGGGAATATATTTGTGTTTACAACAACAGCATTGAAGTCAGAGTACACTTTATCCAATTCTCAAGAATGTGGACCTCGCTAGGTGCACCGATTATTATTGAAAAATTATGCGCAGTATCGCATACAAGGTCTTATCTATTGTATTATGTGTGAGTCTAAAGCCCTCAAGTGCCAAAGATTCAGATTACTTTAAAATCCCCAAATTACCTGTGAGAAAAGAATCGACACACAAGACCTCTTTGGCTACTTTAAAGCGGCCTTCAATAGCACGAGAAAGAGCTGCCTCTACGCTCATATGGCCTTGTTGGGTATCTCTTCAAAACTGCTTCGGCTGTGTAAATAGATCTAACACAAAATATTAGTCAGAAGGTGGTCCTCTCCGAAGTCGGTACTGAGGACTGTTTAAAAGAGTGCACAATATCTGGTGTATACCTCTGGTTGAAAAAACAAGGCGAATGAATTATAAGTCTGGTAGCGAACGAGGACAAAACGAAAAATCTGCGGTGGTCAAATAAACAGTCAGCGCATTCGCGCCTTGGAACCCGTCTCTGTTAAAAGTTTGAAGTCGTAGCTAATTTCGTCTATCTAGGAACTGGTTAAATGAAAAGGAAAGAATTCTCTCGACCAATAACAACCAAACACTAAAAGTCATTCCTTATTCCCGCCCTACTCATGCTGTCCAAATGGGGGAAAGTAATCCAGCTTTGATAGTATACGGTGTGGTATCCGGTGGGGAAAGCAGAGATAAGGAAATGTTGGATGGGTCAAATGCAGAGTGACTTGGTTTCATTTGGTATTTCCAATTGGCGCCAAACAGCGCAAAATAAAACGAGTGACGCGCTATTTTTGATTCGGCTATAATCGCGTAAACACTATCTAAGACAAAGACGTGGAAGAATTAGATTGGTACTTTTGGTTAAGCGGTTAAGAAGCGCCTTTTCCATGGCTGTTTTCTTTACCGCACTCCTCGCACAGCTAGGCCAGACCAAAAATAACCCTAGGGCATTCCAACACAAGCGTTGCTTTGGTAAGTATTTTTAAGTGAAACACTCGTCACCCCTGTGGGTTAGGGGTTCAAGAATTCACCCGCGGTAAGGCATATCTGTCGTAAGAGGCGCCTAAATCCAATAGTTCACGCGACTGTAGGGTCTTTATACTGGAACGACCCGGATTTTTTTATCCGGCCAACAATCCCTTAAAATTACTTTGAGGAATACTTTTGCGGTTACAACAATAACAACAACAACAAAGTCACTTGCTGCGTTTCCTGCCCATCACCTATGATAAGCAAGATTTATAGAATACAAGGTTACGACAAGAGCGAAATCATATGTTTAATGACGAAATTCTTTCAATTTCGTGGGTTGCCGAAGATTTTAAACTAAACTTTCATAATCTTACCTATAAAACAATTTTAGTTTGACTATAAAAATATAAAGCCTTGCATTAAAATTTTTTCAAATTAATAACAATCACAAACAAAACGTTCTTAATAGTTTTATGTCGAACAAATGTATTTTAATTTCCAAACATATCAAAAAAAAATTCAAAATTATCAAAATTAATATTATTTTTAATGAAAATTTCCAGTTGCAAGCAACTCTAACTTTTGATGTTATGTAATACGAATGGCATGAGTAAAACGTTTAAAGTTATTCAAAATTCAAATTCTAAGGGAAAATACAATATTTTAAAAAATTGTATGTAGAAACCGATCTTCACATATTTTCTTTGTCTGCTGAAAAACTTTTGGGGAATAGATGATCCTTATTTTCTGAAAAAAATCGTGTTTAAAAATTGGAAGCGGGGACAAAGTGGGCAGTGGGATATTATGGACAAAAATTTGGAAAAATTTGAAAAAATATCACGTGAGTGATTTACATTAAAATTTTCTGCTAAATTAAAACAAATATGCGCCTCATTTTAATAATTTAATGACTATTTTTTGGGCATTTTTTATCTTTGGCATTTAGAAAACTTGAATTCATCGGTTAGTTAACTATATAATATATTTGCAAGAAGGAAGTATTGCTTTCAAAAAATCGGTACTTAGAACCTTAAGCTCTTATTCAAATATGGTAGTCCCAGACCAGCTAGACTCTGATTGGATCAAAAAGGTCCGTACGCTGTACGCAGGTGTAAAAACAAAAATTTGTTTACTTGCGTTTTTCCTGTATAAGAAATCTCTTCCCATATTTACAAAGAAATATATGAAAAAAAATTATTTCTTTTCATTATATAAATATCAAGTCCTGCCCACTGTATATATAACGAAGTTGGTTCGGTTACTTCAACTGTTGTCGTAACCTTTTTTCTATAAACCTTGACTTTGAAAATGTCGATCGTATGTGATCAAAAGTTCAACTCAAATTAAACGAATATTTTTTAACAAAAAAAAAAAAAATAAAATTAATAAATAAATAATCTTGGTGAATAATTACTTAATATGTTCTGTAGACTCACCTCATCACCTCTTTTCTACAGTCTTATTTCGATATTGATTTTAAACGTAATAGATTAAGGGAAATTTTGAGAGTAGCTTTTACTACTACATTTTGTACATACATTTAAGTGTCGATAATATATATATATATATATTTACAGCTGAAGCGATTATCGACCGAGCTCCTCCTCCAATTTGTAGTTTTTGGTCTTGAGTTTATACTAAGCCTCCTCCGAACGGCTAATGGTTTCTTATGAGGAGCCTTTATTTCTTGTCAGAAATACACTCTTAGCGGAAATTTAACTCAATTTTTTTATTTTATTTGATTTTCTATAACTCTTGGATGTTGGTCGTCCCGGGATATTAACCTGGGCATTCCGAATGGTAGTACGCAATGCTAACCACACAGCTACCGGATATAATATATATCATAAATATCAGACGGGTCAAGCCTCAGCTCAAAGAACTGGTCGTAGAGACCAGAAACTCAGAGAGTGTGCTCTGAGCATGGAGGGTTTCTCCTTCGTTAGCATCATAATTTGGGTTAGATTTGCTTGATATTTGGAAAATAAATAGCTTTTTGCTGGCGATGCTTCGTCTGAAAGTACGAATGTGCTTCATATTAATTATCCCAAAAAGAGAGTATTAGGTCTTCATAAAATTTCAATGAACTTGCTGAACTTATTGGTTGCGCTAAATAATAATAATTATTATTGAACATTTTTCAAAAAAAAATTCTTTTTAATAGGCAAATTTTTTGCAATGATTTATGGTGATTTGAAATCAAAAGACAGTGATGACTGTGTAGATTTTCATAAAGAACAAATTGAACGATGTGTTTTTAGTATCATTTCCCTAGTTTATTTTTTCAGTGGCAATCAAAATTTCAGTAAAGCTCAGTTTAGGAATCTATTGTACTTTAATTTCTATAACTTTCTATGTTAAAATTTTCAGATTTTATACAACTGAATTTTTTTTTTTTTTGAATATTAAGTTTCAAATATTTTCATTTCTTAAATTATTGTAATTTTTATTTTCAATCAAAAGGCTTTTCTAAAATAAATTTTTATTTTAATTTTATTAAAAAAAAACCAAATATTTAATAAAAATAAATAATATAAAATATAAATATATATATAAAATAAAAATATATAAAGCTTTAATTAATAAAAATATATATATGGATACACTCATCTATATAATTGGCGATCCTGCTCATCGAATTTCATAGAATTTACAACATTCAAGCTACATACAAATAATTCAAAAGTTCTGTTCGGTGACCTGATGGGCGGTAACAATTGCTACTAAATCTTTCCGAATAGCATTCGGTGAGGCAAAAACCCATTAAAATTAGTAAAGAGAGAGTCCAATTTTGACGTTTAGTCTAGAGAGAAAGTAGCAAATCGGTGCTGAGAAAATTTCAGACAGTAAAAACTGATTTAAAATTAATTAATACCTTAAAATGAAAGATACGCTAACCAAATAAGTGCCCAAATGTAATTCTCTTAAATTAAATTTAATGATATCAAAGATTCAATTTATAGTTAATATTGTTACGATTTTACTAAATCAACCTCGATTATTTTCTAGATCCTTCGGGTTCGATCTCTGGATTGTTAAATAAAAACTCGCCAATTCAATTTGCAGTATCTTTCGTTATAAAGATTTTATCTAATGTCCTTTATTTACTCCGTAATTCACAATTCAATTACAATGCACTTTTCCATTTACAATCACTAACATCAACCTTCACAATTTACTCTACTTAAATGTAATCTTCAACGCGTTTACTTTACGACTTCACTGATGTTAACGCCAACGAGTTCGCTTTGTCACTAACTTGACTTGCAGCTGAGTGTCGCCTTTATATAGCAGTCGGCTGCTCGCAGACGAAAACGTAGAAGCATCGAATTGTTCGCTATGGAAGGTTCTTGTTTTATCGTTTCTAGAATGTACTAGTTATCGGCTTCTCTCTTTCATCTGACATTCGCCTCGCATTTTCGCAACAATATATTCGTTAAATGCGAATGTGCTGGCAGAGGAGTGAAATCATACCAATGCATACCACCGAGCCCACGTTGAGGAATAAGAAGTTAGGAATGTTGAGGCCTCAGAATTTGAAAATATCCTTGTTTGTTGTACGATGTAAGCCGATTTTGGATTCCTTAAATTTACTAGAAAGTAGAGTCGACTAAATGAGCCGCAAAGTTGTTGCTATGATCACAATAGCAATGCAAAAAATGAATTATTAGTCGCGTTTAAAAGGAAAAATGAAGCTCTTGCTTAAACTTTATTTGCTCGAATATTTCGACTGGTAACTGGTGAATGACATGCGTGATGTTTTGAAGCTGGATTGTCCGCATAGATTTAAGACTTTGCATATCCCCACAGGAAAAAGTATAACGGTGTGTTATCGCACGATCTTGGTCGCCAATCGATCGGTCGAAAACATGAAATTATCAGCTCACTGAAGTGCTCTCTTAATACATCCATTGATTGATGCGATGTATGGGAAGTGGCGCCGTCTTATTGAAACCAAATGTTACCAAGATCATGAGCTTCAAATTTCAGATAACAAAATGGTCGGTTATCATGACGCTATAAAGGTCGCTATTGACGGTTACATTCTCACCAGCATAATTTTGGTAGAAATATGGACCGAAGATTCCATCGACTCACAAACCGCACCAAACCGTTGTATTATCTGGACGAAATGGCAGCTCAATTATGCTTGTTTATATACCCATTGAGAAAGAAAAGAGCCTTATCGTTGAACAAAATGTGTATCCAACTTCTTTGAACTTTTTTAGAGCGAAGCGATATCGTTTGAAAAGATCGAGCGGCTTCAGTCCTTGCACAAGGCGGGTTTTTGTACGTTTTAAATTTAAGATCTCGACTAAAATGTGGCAAATCACTTTATATGTCATTCCGATTCGCTGCGAACGTCACCGAATCGACTCTTCAAGGTCTTCGTGTACACGCTCAGCTGCGGCCGCTATATTTTCTTCAGTGCATGCTGAACGAAGTATATTCGGTCGAATATTATTCAATAATGAATGCTGAGTCTCAAGATGGGTGTTGGTGTTGTAAATAGTACGCCCAGTAGGCCGATTGTGTTGGCCATAAGTTCAGCGAAGCGTGCGAAACACATTTTTTACAGAACGTGAATTATCGTAATAAAGTCGAACGATTTGTAAACGTTGTATAGTCTTTCCATGATGAAATACCAAACAATATTTAACAAAAATAACATTGCAGCTTGAGACGACTCACGCGGGATCTGTTACCTCTACTTGGCTCACCCGCCTTTGTCCTTTTAGAGGACTGTTAGAATCGCTATGGTTTGATGGCTATAAAGCATGTGGAATGCCATCATTGCTACAACACAATGAATCTTGAATACAATTAATAAATTAAAAATGCCAATTTTATTAAAAAAACACTTAAAAGCTGAAAAAATTAACTGTACAAATGAACGGGTGCAAATTTAACCGCCAAAATAAACCGCTATCGTACAATTTGCTGGCTAATTTTTACCGAATTATATTCGATGAAAACTCAGTCAATTTCCTTTGTTTGGGAGAGAAAAACATCTTACTCTTTGTGTTCGGGAGAGTTAAACATCTTACTCTCCCAATATCCTTACTGGCTAATTTTGACTGACCTTTCTCACCGAACAGTGTCAAAATTGTAACGAGTTGGAGCATAATGATTATAAATTAAGTTGCTATATTTCGGTGTTCACTTTTTTTTTAATTTCTCGATCGCTTATTTTCCAAATGAATTCTGTTTTTCCTACACTTTTCAACTTATATATTTTCATATACAAATTTTGGATCTGTCCTACAACTCCTATGACTTTATCAGTGCAAACAGAATAACGTCATGTAGCTAATGTTTTAATATGCTAATTAACACACATTTCTATTTACATATATACATATGTATGTTTAGTTATATATGTATGTATATACACAACCGTCGACTACTAAAATGAATAATATTTATTGTTTGCATTTAGAAGTTATGGAGATCAAATGATTAATTCACTCTCAATTCTAACAAAATCTCTTACTTCTTTCTGTACTCATAATCCAAATGAACTTATGTAATATCTGGCCCTTTCGATAATATTGTAGCTACATATGTATAAAAAACCATTTATATACATACATATGTACTCACATATATATATATGTATATCATTTCGCGCTTAGTTTGATGATTTTTTTAAGTACGTGATATGGCTTTGTGCTAAGTGCGAATAGATGAAACAATCACATGATCAAAAATTTACGTACTTTTTGTGAATGGAAGTTGTAGGGATGAAAGTAAAGCACTAAACTGTCATCTTTGAATACAGGCGCTACAAATTCCTTTGGTGTGGGCGTTGGTGGTGGTGTCGGCGGATGCGGCGACAGTGACGTTGCAGCTGTATCAACTTCATTTTTGCTCATTTTTTGTATATTTTGCCGCACAAGAAAATACCAAACGAACGAATGTGTTAGCAGTTATTATTATATTTTGAATTTATATATCGGTTATATACAGTTAGTTAGTATTTAAATAAAACGTTCTTGATTCGTATGCGTCTACAAGTAATAAGTTGAAATTTTATCACATGCTCGAGTTTTAAAATTTTTGAAATCTAGACAGTATCTATGTTTACATATGTATGTATGTATATGTATGTATGTATGTGCAGGTAGGAACTGATGTGCGCAGGTTAGTAGACAACAATTACTAAACTGAACTGAACTGAACGCGATCGAAATTCGCTACCGACTGCTGCGGGCGGAATTAAAATTGGCTTACATACATACATACATACTTGCATACATACATACATACATCCAAACAGAGAAGTTTAAGAAATTAAGAAAATTAGTTAGTACTTATGCATTTGTAGTCGATTAAATATACAACACATACACATCACACTGAGAGTATGGTGGAAATATATGTATATCTGTATGCATTTGCGAAAGGGTTGGAGAATTGGGAATAACAGTATGCTCTGATTCTCTCGTTAGTAAACAGTTATTAGACAAGGTTAGGAGTTTAAAATGACACTGAGATATTTAATATGCCAAAAAGAGATTTTTTATTTACATTTAAAAAATATATGTATGTATATTTGTATGTGATTTATTTCTCCATGCAATTTCCCAAAGTACAATATTCCAGATCTTAGCTTCGAAAATAAAAAATAAAAATATGACAAAAAAGTAAATTAAGAGAAATTCGTCAAATTATAGTAAACTCATTTAAGATTTTTAATTTAACTAAGCTAAAGATAAATAAAAAAATAAGGCTTAAGTGAAACCAAATTGAAAACGAGCTTGAAACTTAATCAAAACAAGAAAGAAAAGCACACGAAAGAAGCAAGAGTCCAAAACGCGTTTGTATGAAGAGCTTGAGAAGCTGGCTGGCTAGGGTAACGCGGTGCGTAGCCGAAGGTTTTAAGACCGGAACATACATACATACATACACATTAGGAATCAATGTGCAAATCTGTTGACCTATACCCAGAGCATGTTTGGTGTATGGCGGGAACACTACTCCAGCCTGCTGCATGACAGTGAAAATGTAACACCGAGAGATAGCGAGAGACCCGAAACCTCAATTGATAGTGATGGAAAAGACGTGCCATTACCCGACTATGACGATGTTCGAATGGCGATTGCTCGCTTAACGAACAATAAAGTGGAGCCGATGGCTTATCAGCTGAGCTATTTCTTCTTCTTATTGCTACTTTAGGGGTTCAAAAATTTATACGCTTTAAGACATGCATGACGTAAGAGGTGACTAAAATTCTGTAGTTCCTGCGACAGTCGAGTCGTTATACCGGAACGACACGGATTTTTCTCTGGCCAAGGATTGTCACTGCCACAGCATTCCTCAAAAACCGCTTTAGAGAACTTAAAGCACCTAATTGAAATGGAACCTCCACCTAGGCACACCAGAAAGGGAGTGCTCGACTTAAAAAATACCATCCAGCAACATGTACAACGACCGCTGGACGAATGGCGTACAGACAAGCACTGAACGCCATTCACCAGGAGTCAGTCAGCACCTTCAAAGACTCCCTTCCAGTGAGTGGCGTGTTCGGAGTAAAACCACCACCCATTGCAGATAACGAGCTCGAGCTGCCTCGAGAGACCCGCGTGACTTTGGCACAACTTAGGTCTGGATACTGTAGCAGGTTGAACTCTTTCCCAACCCGACTCGATCCCACCATATACAACGTATGCCCTGCATGTGGAGAGACTCCGCACGACACTAACCTCCGCTTCACACGCCCCCTTAATCCGACTCATCTTACTCCCCTCTCGCTCTGATCCCATCCCGTCGAAACAGCGCGTTTCCTGGACCTCCCCTCGGTGACCTCGGCGATTTAGATTAATCAAATCTGTACCTAAGCGGGGTTAGCGAACGGCTACAACAACAACAACAAGCAATGAGCTGTATGAGTTATACGGTGACATTGAAATGGTTCAGCATATGAAGAGTCAGCGGCTGGGCCGGCCTAGGTCATACGGTCCGAATGAGTGAAAACGCTCCAGCTTCAATGAAGTACCCTCCGGTGAAAACAGAGGCAGAGGAAGATCTCCACTCCGTTGGAAAGTGGAGAGCGACCTGGTTTCACATAAATTCCCAATAGCGAAGAGAAGAATCGAATGGCGCGCTATTGTTAAATCGAATATAAACGCGTGAGAGCATGCCATCGAAGAAGAATCTGCTTTTTGCTTTGGGTGGGAGTCTCGACTTGTTATACCTCCGGATCTAATTAGCGCTAGATACTCCATTTTAACGCAGTATCGGAGGACCTTAATATCCTGCTATTGGCTGTTACGCTTGAACTACTTCGTGTACTGAATGTCACCACTTATAACTGTTTTTTGTGAACAGTGCTTCGAGATCAAATATCATATGTAAGAGAGCTGGACCTCACAAAGAAAATTTTCAACAGTTCCTTATTCTCCATTAGTTCGTAGCTTTGACAAGGAGTGTTATAGGACAGCACCATTACACCATTACATTCTCCCCAAAAAGACAGTGTTTCGTTATTGTGACTGTAAGTCTATATCTACTCTCCCTAGATCTGTTCAAAAGGTATTTGGTTCTTAAGATGTCATCTCAGGTCAAAGTAGCTTCGTTATTTTACAGTTGGGTATGGATGCCTATCTAAGAAGAAGAAGATGTTCTGTTCTAAACTATTTGTTTAAAATTTATTTGAAACTTTTTCTTGATACGTCAAAATGCCAACTCGTTAGATTATTTCCTATGGGCGGGAACATAGACTTTGGAGAAGTTTACCTGAATAGCCAGGGGCTTAAGTCTTGTCCACCATCTTTATCACCCGGGAGTTTATCGTTGGTGACGTAAACGACAGCGATGCGCCTTACCCGAGTAACTGGTTTCCAGTTGAATGCCCCATAATCTACTTTTCGAAAATTGGTAGGAAAGCGAGCATCGTCACCATTGGTGGATATGTGGATGGATAGAAGCGAATGCTAATTGCGGACACGGGTGCATGGTACACCATCATTCAATCTGACTTGATCCCTACAGCATACCCAGTCCCAGGTGCAACATTTACTCTTGATATGGATGCTAGGAGACGTGCTTTCACAGATAATCGATGGGCAGGAGAAGAAAGTTGTCTACAATAGCCAGTCTTTTGGAAAGCCGGAGCGGAGCAACTGTCTAACTCGGAGGGAACTAGTTGTGTTGGTTGATTGCTTCAAAAATCAAGGATCACGCAGCACTAAAGTCGCTATTACAAACAGTTCAAAAATCTCGAAATACAGCTAGATGTGTGTTATGACTTCACCATTGAGCATCACAATGGAAATTGCACGAGAAGCCTAATACCATGCTCCGCCCACCGTGTAGCTTGGATTGTAAGCGCTGCTCAAACGACCAGTTAATGAGAAAATATCAGCAATGAAGGCCTTGAAATTGATATCCGTCTGCGCAGAATGGGTTGCCAACTGTAAGGGGGATATTGCAGCGTAAGGGCTGTAACCACTCCATTCCCTTTGAGCCCAATAGGAAACAGGTACTTCCTTGTGGTAATGGATTACTTTAATAAATGGCCCGACTGCTATCCAATTCCAACTCAGAAAGCTAAAACTGGTGTGGAAGCGTTGACCCACAATTGGGTTAGCAGATAAGGTTTCACTATAGAACTGCACACTGACCAAGGCGGGAATTTCGAATCGGCGATATTCCAAAAAGGAAACACATCGGTAGTTTGCTTCAGTTTTGGAGTAAATGGCGATGCGAGAAGAGTTTTGAAGGAAACATCTAACGCTATAGAGGAAGAGCTACGAGGCAGCGAACTTATATTGTTAGATAAGACAGAGACCAGGTATGATAAGGCGATGAACTTCGAAGATTTTCAAGATGGAGTTTTAGAAATTTAAAAGCAATTGTCAGCAAATGCTTCTGAACGGACGTTCAGACTAAGATGAATTGCAGTGCGGCGAAAATACCAAATACGTGTGCCAGATGAAAAAGAGATACAGCACGTTCTTATCATACAATCGATTGTTCTGAAAATCGTGAGAACATATAGTAACCGATTTCCAGAGCTGAGTACGAACATTTGGTGAGGTATATAAGGGAGCAATGAACACATCAGTCAGTCAGTTCCAAAGTGAACGCGTTGAAATAAAGCGAAAATAGTAGAGTATTGAAGTTGTAAAGGAATTTTTGTTTATTGAGTAAATAAAATCTGCTTAAGTTCGTTACAATTAAGAAGTTGTGAAAATAGTTTAATGATCGAGCTCGAAAGATTTGGGAAATCATAGAGGCGTATTTGGCGTAAATCCTTACAATACGTGTACGCATTCATTTTCACGTTCACAAACTTCCTTGTGGACTCGGTTGAATTGAGTGCTCTGTTGTGAGTGAATTAAAATATGAGGGATAAAATAAAATATTGTTGCGAAAATGCGTTGCGAATGTCAGATGAAAGAGAGAAGCCGGTAACTAGTACATTCTAGAAACGATAAAACAAGAACCTTCCATAGCGAACAATTCGATGCTTCTACGCTTTCGGCTGCGAGCAGCCGACTGCTATATAAAGGCGACACTCAGCTGCAAGTCAAGTTAGTTACAAAGTGAGCTCGTTGGCGTAAACATCAGTTAAGTCGTAAAGTGAACGCGTTGGGAATTACATTTAAGTAGAGTAAATTGTGAAAGTTGATGCAAGTGATTGTAGCTAGTAAAGTGCATTATAATTGAACTGTGTATTACGGAGAAAATAAAGGACATTAGATTAATTCTTTATAACAAAAGGAACTGCAAATTAAGTTGGCGAGTTTTTATTTAACAATCCAAAGATCGTACCCGAAGGATTTAGGATATAATCGAGGTTGATTTAGTAAAATCGTAACAATATATATGTTAAACGAAAATTTTAAATATCTTTCAAACTGTAAGGGATATTTCAAAAACTAAACCTTGTGAATGCCAAAACGATAAGCGATAAGTGTGTGAAAGAAAAAGAAAATGTGTGACATATATGTAGTGTATGTAAGAGAAGGCATTTATCAAAGATAAAATTTGTGAAAGCGAGAGAGAGAGATGGAGGGCACATTTTTGAATTCACCTCGTGGAATCGGCATCTGAAAATGGCAGCAAGGCTGTTTATTTAAATGCAAAGAATTTCCGATTACGTGAGTTTCGATTAAAATCGATTAATGAAAAGAGGAAATGACACCCTTTTTAAATACTTTTTTCATTACTCTTGTAATCAGCTGTTGTTATTAAGAATTTGCTCAATGATAAATATTTTGCGTTCCATTTGTATACATTTAAGTTTTGAAAATAGTAAATAATGTACTCAGTGTGATCAAAAATAAAATATGAATTCTGTTAGAGGAAGTTTAGCCAGTATACCAGGAGCATTGAGCTCGTTTATTAGTGAAAGTGCTTCCAGCTTATTACAACAAAATGGTTGCATAGCTACTACAGCTCCAGATGATGACGTTAGTTCTACTACGTCGCAAAGTGACAAATCATATCCAATTCCATCGTCATTAGTTAAAGAACAATGGAGATTAATTTTTACCTCTGATGCCAATGCTCAGGATTTGGAAGCAGCAATTGCCCATTGCCGTGATTTGGTTATGCTCTCAGATGAATGTAGCGAAGAGCGACATTGGTTAGTTCGTCATTTGGTAAACTTACGATACTCGCTAAAAGAGTTACAATCTGCAGAATCAGATCCCTTAGAAACAGCGCCTCATGTGAAGACAATTGTTGGTCATCACTTCAACGTACAACGAAGTGGACATATTGGTACCCGCCAATATTGTGACCATTGTAGCGGAATTATATGGCGGATGATCCAAGCTTGTTATGTGTGTGTCGACTGCAATTTTATAGCTCATCAAAAGTGTGTAGACAGCGTGGTCCGTATATGTGCACATGTTATAGCATCAGAGCGACGCTATCCCATCGGAGAGATTTGCCCAGAGATTGGCTTAGCTGCGCAGCAATACAAGTGTGCTGAGTGTGGAACTCTTCTAAACTTTAGTAAGTCGAAAATCTGTTATATTTAATCTATAATTTTAAGGAAACTTAGAACTATTGAGGTAAAAAAATGTTAAATTATAAACAATCAGGACCCTAAAGATCTATATAATGTATGTGTTTCAAATGGGCTTAGATGGGGTATTATAACGTGTTCTAAAATGGGTAAAATATTATAATAAAATTAAACCTATTGGAAGCGGGGTCGTGTTTCTCTTAATTAAGGCTAAACACCCAAAATAATAACAATAACAAACGGGACTCATTTTTGATAACAATTCAAGAAATATTTTTCATGGCGTGTGTGTTAAATATGTACAATATCTATGTAGATACATATGTATTTATTTCGCATCCTACATATACAATAGTTAAGTAACAAACATATCTTGTAAATAATTTGGTTTTTCTTTTTTCTTAATAGAAAATTCCTGGATCGAACCGCGTTTGTGTGATTACAATGGCCTTTATTATTGCCCAAACTGTCACTGGAACGATTATAGCATTATACCCGCACGTGTTGTGCACAACTGGGATTTTACACAATACAAGGTATCACGATCCTCTCTTCAAGAAATTTCGCTATTTTACGATAAACCATTGATTAAACTTGAAGAGGCTAATTCGAAGTTGTTTGTGTTTTTGGAAAAACTCGGTAATATCAAAAAGTTACGCCAAAATTTGTGTCATATGAAAAAATATTTAGTGGAATGCCGAACAGCAACTGAGGAAAAGCTTCTGGATAAGCAAATGAGTACTCAGTGTACCAACGATAATTCTGGTGTAAGTGATTTACGCCGCCACCTTATACAATCCACCGAATTTTTTTCAATCAATGATTTAGATTTGATTGAAAAGGGCATTTTAGTCGATTATCTACAAAAGGTGTTTAATGGATTCGATCAGCATATACGAAATTGCGAGTTATGTCGCGCCAAGGCATATATTTGTGAAATATGTGGCAATAATGAAGTAATATTTCCCTTCGATGATGGCTGCATTATGTGCGATAAATGCAATTCAATTTATCATCGTGTTTGTATGACCAGAAAAAATATGATATGTCCAAAGTGTGTGCGTTTGCAAGAGCGTAAAAATCAATTAGCAATTAAAAACAATGATGATATAAGTGATATTGACGAACTTTAATAGATAGATTAAGGATAAGATTTTATATTTGCTAATTTCAATATACATATGTAAATATATATTTAGAGTTTTTATTCAATAAGACTAATATTAAAAGGAAGTCTGTGTTTTAATTCAAATCTTCTTTATTATAATGAAAATGTTGCAAGTTCAATTATTTTCATAGACATAATTAATGGGTTGGCTTTTATGTATTGTACTTCATCAGTTGCAGAAGGAATCACCAATGTACCACTCATGACCTCAGGCAGGATAATTTAATTTTGGATGCCCTCCTTCCAACATTAGCGGTTATTTACAAAAAAAACGCATCCATTTCAAACAAGTTACCACTGAAAAATCGTAGTAGGTAATGCAGTAAATGTAAAATTGTGAAAATAGTACTAAGCCGAATCTTTCGTGCTGGCAAAGTCTTACGGATATTTCTCACCGAACACAGCTAATGACTTTTAATTTTTCACGGACCCAATACCCGATTGAAAGGCAACAGTAATGGTTATTTACAAAATATGGCCTAACAAAAAATCACGGTAGGTAATGCAGTGAAGTAAAATACGCTCTTTGCGCTTGCCACCCTACAAACCGCAATTTATCTTTAAATATCTTTACGTTCTCTGCGCAATGGATGAAGCAGTGATTTTTTCATGGCAATGTACTGATATCGATAAATGAGAGTGGAGACTTAATGCTGAATAAGGTGTGTTTCATTTTTCAAATAGTTCATTATTATTGGCGAAGGGCATTTGACAACAAAATGTTGTCGCTAAAAACATACAGAATCAAGTTTATTATTTTAAAGGAGATTTAACTTATATATGTACATACATAAATATATAGTATTTTTTTCGTTTTCTTAATTGACTCTTGTAATACATAATTTGTTTACATTATCGTAAACTCACAATATGTGCCCAGGATTCATTAAGCATGTTCAGTTGACGGTTGTATGTAGCAGCATAAAATAATTACGGAGGATATGGTGTCGCACTTTTGTCACCGTTCATTGGTGGAAGTGGCTTTGGCTTGAGTTGGGACTATCGTGAAATATATGAAGCCTAAATCGGCTGAAGACAGGACTCTCGGAGGGGAAATGCTGCCGCGTTTCGTCATCTTCTGTGCATGCATTTGATTCCACTTTACATAGTTTGTAAAGATGATGTCTTAGGAGTAGACGGCGCGTGAATAAACCCACAGAAATACTAAATTCACTTTTGTTTAAAGCCAATAACAGTTACGCTGTCTGCTATCCACTCTGCTCCACAATAATTTGGTGCTATGCCCTTCGTTGGAAGCCTTCAAGTACTTTAAATGCTCCTTCATGGTTAACTGCTTTGGACAGCATTTGAATGTGCTAAAGGATCTGAGACAGTCGATGGTGGCACCAGTTCCCCGCCTTTTCACTGCCTTTCCCCAGAAATCAAGTAGATTTTGGCACCTTGGGTAATGCCCACAATCTCTGCCTGGAAGCCATAGTTGCAGTCATTGAGATTGAAGCTACCTTGATTATTGAATCGGTCACAGGAGAACGCTGCTTCTGTACCTCCTGCGTACCTAACAGAAAGTTTCCTTTTCTCGTTCCCATTGTACTTCTCACTTAGTGTTGCCACCATACTAGTTCCCTAACATTTTGGTACACACAATACAACATTTGGAGTCGTAGTCCTCTGCAGACATTCAAAGTTCGGAACGTGAAAGGTGAAACTTTACATCTCGATCGCCTTACCTAATGAAGGCCAATGAAAGCGTAGCTTAGCATCAAAACCAGTAATGCTGCTTTCGAAACGTAGAAGGTGCTAAATGAGAAACACAACAACTCTAAAGACATCTTCAGACATCATTCGCTTTCTGGATCTCTATTCGAGGTAGATCGCAGATAATTGCACTATGGACGAGTTAGTGAAAGAAGGAACCATCTAAAACAGTTATGTTAGAATTCATTAGACCGGTTGTCTCCTTCAGGAGGCCATCATAGACGACGACACGTCAGCTTCGCCTCGCCAAGTATCTGCTAAGCATCGAGCACCACATATAACGTGCTCTAACCTCCATAGTCCTACTGGAGGCTCATCGTCGCTTCATTCGACGATTTTCGCTGCTTAGCATCGTTGATAAAATAGGGTTTCTTGTAAAAGTTTCACTTCTCTGAGAGAAATTCGCAAGCCCTTGAGCATATTCTGATCTGAAAGGGCTTCCTTCATCTTTAGACTGCAGTACCCAAACTAATTATAGTTCCGAAACTTTTTATGTTATTAAGATGGTTAAATGAAACCATGTATGCAGCTAATCTTGCCACTCTCGAACTTCGACTAGTTCGGTCTTCCGCGAGAGTATCATCTGGTATAATAAGGTGACCTTATTTAATATGAATGAGTTACCTTTCTCATCATATTTTTGGACTTAGAGGAAAAAGAATCTGTTAAACACAAAGTCAGCCTATCTATCCAGCCTTGAGCATTGCCTCTCGGAAAATATTACATTGTGTTCCCAGCAGTTAGTAAGAAAATTAATTTAAGTAAACAAAATTTCGTTAATTTTTCTAATTGCCGACGCCCCTCGGCAGGGAGTGGCAACCCTTCCGAGTGTATTTATGCTATGAAATAAAAACTCCTCACCACAATTTGAGGATAAGCTTGACCGAAAATCTCTTCGGCGTCTACAAAGCGCCAATTATGTATGTATATATATATCAGCGCCATATATAGGAAGTGTACTGAATTTTTACGAAAGTGTAAGCACTTCCGTGGCAAGTAGAAAAGAAATAAGAGGATCCACACACACTACATCTTTGTCGATTTGAAAACCGCCTTCGAGAGCAAGGTTTCCGATAAGGTCATTCCTTACCTTTCTTTAATTCATTGCTGGAGAAGAATATAGAATGTACAGTGGCTTGCGTACGCCGAACAACCGTACCATTAGTTTCGTTTAGCTCTCTGGTATCAAACAAACAGTCAACGCATTCGGCACTCGACTACCACGTCACTGTTGGCAGTCATAACTTTGAAGCATGGACGATGACAACATCTGATGAGTCGGCGGTGGGAGTTTACGAGAGAAGAGTTCTGCGTAAGATTTATAGTCCTTAGCGCGTTGGTAACAGCGAATGTCGCACAGATGAGCTGTACGAGATATACGGCGGCATTGACATAGTTCAGCGAGCATCAGCTAGGCCATGTGATCCGTATGGATGTGAATACTCCAGCTTTGAAAGTTTTCGATGCAGTAATTGCCGGTGGAAGCAGGGTGAAGACCTCCACTCTGTGGGAAAGGCCAGGTAGAGAAAGACTTGGCGCCAAACAAGGAAAAGAATGCATGAATAGTGCGCCGGCATTGTAGGTGTCTACGCTAGTAAAGAAGAAGAAGCAGTAATTTATAGAAAATATTTTCCCGAAAGCATAGATGAAAGTGATCGGTTAATGTGTTGAATTTTAGATTTTAGGCCATTTAAAGATATATTTAAATATATATATATATTTACACTAGAGCGAGCTCCTCTTGTGGTATGCGCCTTGAAGATTTTCCAACAAATGGACGGACCTACAGTTTATACTAAGTCGCCTACTAGCGGCTGATGGTTTTCTTCATGCCATAAATACACACTAAATACACCCCATTCTCTGCCGAAGGGCGGCCGCTAAAAGAAAATTTTACTTAATTTTTCATTTTGATTAATATTTTATAACTTTTGGATGTTGATGGTAACAGGATTTGAACCCGAGCAACGCTAACCACTCGGCTACTGCGGCCGCCATTTTAAGGGTACTCAAAAGCTTGGCTTATTGCTTGTAGAAAATGATGACAAATGCGCATGTAAATCATTTATTATTAATATATATATATAATATATATGTATGTACATACGAGTATATGACATAGTTTTTAGCTTTCCACTTTCTCCAGCTTAGACAACTTTATTCCACTGATTTGAGACATCAGTTAATTCTAATAAGTCAATTGTGGTAATTGTTGGCGGCGAATGCTTAAATGTATATATGTACAATATATATATACAAACACAGAGCACATTCCTTATACTGAGATTACATTCAAACTGTCGAAAATGTCGACCGAGCATTCCAGCTTAATGAGGGTAACCCTATCTTGCTTCTGATGTTATTTCTGCATCACACACATTCACATTCATTACTCAACACAAAAAGGGTGAAGTGTTAATGTAAATGTTACTTGCCAAAAAAGGGGTGAATATGTACGGGGTTTACTTACATACAAATTACGAATTATTTTAAACCTTTGAGTTCCTTTGAATGTGTTAATTGTAGCAACCGTTCCCGCTTGTCATGCTTAATTAATTAATTTTTTAAAATCGTGATGATTTTTTACATTCAAAGAAGCAAACATTTTTCTGTTCAAAAAAGTTGGCAAAAACAACTTTTATATTAAAAAAAAATGTCTCTGAAAGAAATTTTCTTGTTCTGATAAGCCTTCGACCAAGGCGAATTTACAGATGGTGAAGTTGTCACATCATATGATTGCTTGTTCTTCCTTCAATTTCAGAAAATTACACAAACAAATTGCATTGAACGATTTTCATTTTTGACTTTTCGAAACTATGATAACACAAACAAAATACATAGGCTTTTTGTTTTTATATTCTGGCTACTATCAAGGCGAATTCATAGAGGTGAGAGCAGAAAAACAAAGACAACAATATACTGTTGAGAGAAACCTCAAATAAAAAGGCAACGATGTCCTCTGTCTAAAACAATTTTGATTTAAAAATTATATATGAAAATGATCATCTACTCCACTCCCTTGTGCCAATTCGTTTATAAGTCATGTTCAGGCGAAAATATCAGTATTTTTATGACAAACTATCAGTTTTTTCCCACATTTCTCTTACCATGCACCTTCTTGTCCTTTTTTCTTCATCTTTAATTAATGCTAGACGTAAAATGTCTATACATTTTAATTTTGTCGTTTTTTCACAAATTAATAACACAAAATCTAACAGCTGATTGTTTGTTACCTCCTATTTCGCCGCTAACAAAACTTACAGGGGGAAAGTGAACTTAGAATACGAAATAGTAACAAAATTTACTGAATGGTAAATTTTAATACCAAAGCAAATTTTTTTTGACTCG